GAGGGCGTTCCACAGGGTGCGCGCCACTACCGAGAAGGCCCTCTGCCTGGTTCCCTGCAGCTTTGCTTCTCACAATGAGGGAACCACCAGAAGGCCCTCGGCGCTGGACCTCAGCGTCCGGGCAGAACGATGGGGGTGGAGACGCTCCTTCAGGTATACTGGGCCGAGGCCGTTTAGGGCTTTAAAGGTCAACACCAGCACTTTGAATTGTGCTCGGAAATGTACTGGGAGCCAATGTAGGTCTTTCAAGACCGGTGTTATGTGGTCTCGGCGGCTGCCCCCAGTCACCAGTCTAGCTGCTGCATTCTGGATTAGTTGTAGTTTCCAAGTCACCTTCAAAGGTAGCCCCACGTAGAGCGCATTGCAGTAGTCCAAGTGGGAGATAACTAGAGCATGCACCACTCTGGCAAGACAGTCTGCAGGCAGATAGGGTCTCAGCCTGCATATCAGGTGGAGTTGGTAGACAGCTGCCCTGGATACAGAATTGACCTGTGCCTCCATGGACAGCTGTGAGTCCAAAATGACTCCCAGGCTGCACACCTGGTCCTTCAGGGGCACAGTTACCCTATTCAGGACCAGGGAGTCCTCCACACCAGCCCGCCCCCTGTCCCACAAAAACAGTACTTCTGTCTTGTCAGGATTCAACTTCAATCCATTAGCCACCATCCCCATAATGGGGTATATCTCTTGGGAACAAATGGCTAAAGTCTCACAGCTCTTTGAGCCATACTATCGAGAAAGTTGTTACTCGGCATGTGAGAAGGGGCCTGTGATGGAAAAGTTTGTTTTGCTGGACAGGTTGGGTCAACAAGTGTTTTCTTTTTCTTTTTTCCTGCCAGCAAACGGTTAATGAATGGCAGCCTCTGATTGGCCAGGGTTCCAGGAGGGGGAGTTAAAAAGGAGAGGATTTGGAGGGACAGTGGAGGAGTAGGCTGGATTGAGGTTGGGAAATGGGGAATGAGAGGAGAGAGAGTTGGTTCTGGGTAGAAACATCCACTCTGAGGAATATATCACAAGGTAGAGAAAGGAGTCTCTGAGCTTAGTGTGAAGGACAGTGCGTGGTGTCCTGTGAGAGTAATAGGCCAGGAATTAACTGGGAGGCTGAGCCTGAGCCAGGAGAAGTAGAAGCTGTGAGAATACAGTCTACTTAGGACTCATTCCAGTCAGGAGGGGGAGATATTCTTCTACAAAAAGAGAAGACTCCCAAACCAGTGATCCCTTGGGTCTGTTACTTGGAGTACCTCAGGAGTAGGGTTGTCTAAGGGCTGTGCAACTGACAGGAAGTACCACTTTTTTCAAGAACCAAAGTATTAAGCGGCAACAGCTGTCCAACAACTGAGAAAGAACTGAAGTGAAATAACATTATAATCTCAGGTATCCTATGTTTTATCCACTTGTGTCATAAACTTCCTTTGTTAAATAAAATCTTTATTGTTTATTTGATCAAATCCTGCCTGAGACTCCAAATTATTAAGTTTGCCCTCACACAAGTTTCCCACAGGATAATCTGGGTTAGTTTGTGGGAATTCGTGGAAGTGGTGTTCTGTGAGGTGGGTGCATTATATTTAAGTGAGGGCGGGCCCAATGGTGCCATCGTAGGGCATCGTTGAGCCATCGTAGGGCCTGCCACGAAGCCTTGTCTCTTAACCTTTGCACAAACAGTGTCTATTTGGAAGTAGCCATGAAGGCTTCCACGTGGCCTGAAGCAAAGCGTGATCCGCATGTTGGGCCATGTAGAGACCTTCATGTGTTCAGCTTAACATGTCAAAGTTGCCTCAGTGGAAACAGTTGTGCTCTTTGTGTGAAAGCTAGCAGGCAAGGCTCCTCAGCCTGTCCCCATACCCACGCTGGAGTATTAATGCCAGAAGGACACTGGTGTTGACTGAGGGAAGCCAGCTCAGGCAACACAAAGGAAAGCACATTTCCCCTCACTTCTAGTCACCTCTGCAGCAAAAGGGAGCCAAGTCTTCCCTTTCCCTCTAAACAACCACAGGGGTGGGGTATACCCAGTGGTGCCACACTGCACCAATAATGTGTGACTCAGGCTTAGTAGTCATGTGGTGAAGGGAGTTCATTTACGATTATGGCAAAAGTCTTCCTTTCATACGAAGCTCTTCAAGTCACGTGTGTATGGGTTGAAGACATGCTATGAAGACAATCAGAATTATCCCAATGTTATGCAAAACAGAAAAAATCAAGTCCTTGGGGTATGGCGTGTCTGCTTGTAGCCTAAATATGCTGCTTAGAATGTCCTTTTCAGTTGGCTTCTATGGTACAAATTAAAAGTGCCTCCTGGAGAGTAAAAAAAAATCAAATCATAAAAATGTGATTACTAATGAATGAGTCAGATGGCCTGGTGGCGAATCTGCATAGCCATGTGATGAAAAAAATGTGATTGTAAAGGTAACTTGGCATCATGCAAGAGAAAGAGCTTGCTTTATTCCTGTTTCTCCAACTGACTCATTTCTCTTTTTAAAATTTTATTTCTGCTTCACACTTTTCCCGGGGCCTGTGGGCTCCTGTCCAGGCCAAGATATTCTGTGATTGACTTTGATTTTCTAAGGTAAGTGATCTGTCGCTCTTAGACCAGTGAAAGGAGCAAGGAAGGAAGCAGCTCACTGCAGCCCAGCTTTGACTCCTGCCTGCCTGACATTGTACACGCTAATGCAATGTGAAGTAGCACGTCTAAATAGCCTGTCAAACTTTTTTGATGTCAGGGAACCCACAGATGGGATTCATTTCCACACTGTTCAAAAAACGTAAACGATACAAGGACATTAAAGAGCATTAAACTACTTGATGACATTCTGGTCACATTAATGAAAAGTGGCATTTATAAACTACTAGAGAGAGGAACAAAATAAGGAGCGATTAAAGGAGGGAACACAAGTGTGTGATAATATGCCTAAGACATACACACACATGGATAAGACATACACACACACATACACACACACACACACACACAGAGAGAGAGAGAGAGAGAGAGAGAGAGAGAGAATTCAAATCAGTGAAATAATAAAGATGACTCCAGCAGTCCTGGGACATTGTCTGTAGAAATTAATACCTTAGGAATTGCACATTAAAACACACACGGAATAAGAAAATCTGGAAAAGGACGTACTTGTTTGTTGGTGTCCAACCCCCTGATTTAAGGCCTGATCTGACTCCCAGTGAAGTCAAAGGAGGAGGCTGTAGCTCATGGTAGAATTCATGCTTTGTATGCACAGCATCCCAAGATTCAGTCCCCTGCATTGCTAGTTAAAATGATCTCAGGGTAGCAGAACTAGAAGAGATCAAGACCTGACAGGGGTGCCAATCTGAATAAAATATTGGGGAGCCCCAGGTAAGCCCTGCATAATCGATCACAAGACAAGCACACACACACCATTTGAATGGCAATGCTCATGAAGTGTGTGTGTGTGGGGGAGGGCTCATATATTTTAAGAGTTGATTCCTATGCCTGAGACTATGGAAAACCATTGCCAATCAGAGCAGACAATCCTGGACTACACAAACCAGTGATCAGACCAATGATAACTCAGCATCAATTGGACAAATCCCCAACTACCAAAAGCAAGAGTTTCCTGACCTGAAAGCTGCCTTCCCACCCACCCCCTCTCATCCTCTACCCAAAGCATTGCTTTAAAAAAAAAAAGCTCTGTATGCCTAGTATAACTGGGTTTGCCCATTTAGTGCTGACACATTACTGGATCTTTTCTGTGATGGTTCCCTGGTTATGGAATACTCTTCCATGTGAGGTGCATCAGTCTCCATCGCGATTAGCTTTCAGGACAACTTGGAAAGCATTTCTGTTCACCCAGGCGTTTGGTGGTAGAAGAATACTGTTCCTGGCAATCCCATGATCATTAGAGGGAAGTATGTTTTTAATTCTAATTGCTTTTAGAATGTTTTTAATTGTAACTGCTTTTAGATGTTTTTCATTATAATCGTTTTCAGAATGTTTTATCTGTTTCTGCTTTGCTTTTGTTTTTTTAAATTGTGTGTCTGTTTGCCTCCCTGGGCTCCTTGTGAATAGAAAGAGCAATAAAAATTAGATAAACAATATAAAGCCTTCATGAGTGTGCAGTGGGTCTTAGGAGGTAGCTACAGAGGCAGCTTCCTATAAATGGGGCATACCTCCCATCCTTTCAGTTCAGAGCAGTGTTATACAGCTAGAAGAAATACAGGGTATCTCCTAGGAAACAGCATGTACCACAGGACAACAGTGTCCCCACTGTTGGAAGCCAGCCATGCAAATTGCATAGCTCACACCAGCCTGTCATCTACAATGCAGAATGAATTTAGGTGGTATGCTGGAAACCTGCACATCTGAACTGTAGAGGTTTGAAGTGCTGAATATAGTGCATAGTTAAACTGGATACTTAATGCTTCAAACGAGAGCAGCCAGGACGTGCTGGTATGAAATCAAGTACATGGTTTCACTCCTGTTTTTCAAAACCAGTTGCCCAGGGCAACTCTGTGGTTAGTGGGAAGGTGGACACATAACAAACATAAAGATGGCTGGAGTTACCCCACTCACTGAAAGAGATACTTTGAAAAAGCTGGTGTCTGAAGGTGTCTTAAGGGGAATTTATGTTGACATTGAAAGATAGCTTTAAAATCTTTTAAAACATAGGAGCCTTTTTGAATTATATATGCTAATAAAGCTGTCAACATTTTGGCTACTTGGCTCAGCTAGATTTTAAGAATCCCCGGGAACCAATTAGGAGTTAATATTGGGCTGAAACTTCTCTCTTCCAGTTCCTGCAGGGCTGCTACAAAATGAATCACAACAGTGGAATCTCCCATTCCTATTTGGACTTGTCATGGTTTTTTAAATTTTTATTTTTTTTACCTGGATAGGTTACAATCCTTTCCTGTAAAATAGTGCATAAACTGACTTGATTTACTCAGTTTTTTTTCACCAAGTTCCATGGTTGGTTTTAAATTTCCTTTCTAAATACTGAGTGCGGTTGTAAAAGCTTCTATCGTATAAATCAATTCCTGTAAACAGAAACATTTGGGACAGTGGAGAAGTGAAAAACATCCAAAAATGCATCGTGGAATTAAATTGCATTTATAATTGAAGCTAGGTTGTATAACTGTATCATTATTGTCACTTTCGTGACTAAGAGTGGGGCCCAGCTTCTTTTGTTGTCAATGGCAAAGTGTTTCAATATCCATACTGATGACTGGCAAAAATTACCTCTCCTGTGGCATCAGCTGGATCAAAAACACTTCTGTGAGTGCAGGGGCATCAACTGAATTCTCTCCCTTCACCTGCAAAAAAATCTTCAAGTATCTTAGTAAAATTAATGGCATATTCACCCCTCCTTAGCCACAACAAAACCAGTATCTATTGGAACAAGTCCAATGTAGTCTGATGCCAATGAGAACTACTGTATTTGTTCAAATCTAATGCTCACCTTTTTTGGCCAAATTACATTGTCAAAATTAAGATCCGCATTAGATTTGCTGGCACATTAGACTCGAGTAAATACGGTAATTCCAAATAGGTAACTGTATTAGCGTCTTGCAGCAAGTACAGCAATAAATAGTCCTGCGAATATGCCAATTTCGGTTTTGCTCGGTGTTGCATTTTTCCAGTTTTAAGTTCAATTCACATTTCCACATCAGTTTGTGATTATTACTGTTAATTTGAAAAAAGGTATCATAAAAACTAATAATAATTTTAGCAGACATTTCTCTAATTATACACATACAGTGGTACCTCTGGTTAAGAACTTAATTCATTCCGGAGGTCTGTACTTAACCTGAAACTGTTCTTAACCTGAAGCACCACTTTAGCTGATGGGGCCTCCTGCTGCTGCTGCACCACTGCTGTGCAATTTCTGTTCTCATCCTGAAGCAAAGTTCTTAACCCGAGGTACTATTTCTGGGTTAGCGGAGTCTGTAACCTGAAGCATCTGTAACTCGAGGTACCACTGTATATGTATGCGATTTTGCCTAATATACATGTTTGTAAGGCAATGTTACCTAATGCATTTTGTATGTTATTATGACCGATGCATGCACTTTACCCTAATGTACACATTTTTCTACATATTACTTAGCTGATGAAATGCATTACAAAATTCAGATTTTGAAGAATGGTTGTGTTTCAATTTGCACATTGTTTTGGGAAGTTTGAATTAGGTAGGCTCACCTTTAAATGTGAACTTAATCAAAGTGCTACTACATCCCTACTTGTTGCCTCTTAAAATACGTTGTTATTATTATTATTATTATTATTATTATTATTATTATTTCACCAGATGCACAGGAAAGTAGTGATGACTGGAAAAAGCAAGGGAGGTTACTGGTCAACCAACTCAGTGAAGGAAGGATAGAGCTGCAATGTAGGCAAGAAAATGAAATGACAAATGAGGTCCAGATAGGTCACATGACTTGGCTCTAAGATATTGCCTTTTTTCAAATATAGGAGTTGTTACTGCATCTGCCTAGTGTGTGAGTTGACAACCTATGGGTAAATTTTACCAATAAATGCATTAATTTCTATACCCACTGGATGAATTTCATGATAATGAATCAGACAATATGCAGGCAATTCAGCCACTGATTCTTCCTATATGCAGTTAAGCGAACATCAACTGAATAGTTAGGAAGTTATTACCAAGTACTAATATTTGAGGTAGATGACCCTTGCAGCCCCTTCCAACACTACAATTCTGTGATGATTATATGATTTTATGATGTTGAGGAAAAATTACTCAATCATCTGATCATTTGTTTTTAGATCCACTCTTGTAGAATGTGATTTGCTTGCAGCAATAGGTTTGGATTAACTTACCTTCAGGAATTCCACTCACAGAAGGTGTCCTGGCCCAATTTTGTGTGATCCCACTTTCCCCTAATTCTCCTAAACCACAGCCCACCCTATTCAGGAGGGTCCTTCATTCCTATGTGTCTCATTTCAGTCTAGTAGGCTCTGTTGTTCCTGAAAAGCTGAAGTTTTCAGCTCTCACAGTCATTTACCAATAATTTTGTTTAAAAATAATGGCAGTTGCCTAATCTATTCCACAAGACACAATTTCTAGCTCACAAAACAGCAGTGTTAATGCCATTTTTTTTAATGTACCCAAACTATGTTTGCATCTCAATTAACTGCTCAGAAAATGTTGGAATACATTTGGCATGGTGTTTTTTCCCCTTAAAAGATCATAATGTGAGCACTATTACAGTACCCGTTTATTTAAAGACAAACCCTGTACTGTAGGCCTTTGGTACTTGAAAGGTAAATTACATTCATGCAAAGCCAAACTGATGAACTACTGAAAGCCATAGCTGCTGAAAGAAATACCTGTGTTCTAAAGTTATAAGAACTATTGCCCATGAACACCACAGTACATTTACTCAAAGATTTAATTTCCAAATAACTTTCCTTCACTCAAGTAATGGCAACATTGGGCAGGTTTTCTATCCGTGATGTGAGGAAAAAAATGCATAATTTTGTTGGTGTTGGAAAATACTGACACTCTGCAAAGCTGCACATTAAGCGTTGTGAAGGAATTAGGCATTCTGACTTTTCTACTTATTTCTCTTACAAACCATTCGAGTGCACTTTTGATTACAGGAACTGTGGAGTGTTTGGGTCACACAACTTAACACTGAGTTTGATGGGACATGCAATGTCTCTTAAAATCAGCTCCTACAGGCTCACCTGAAGAAGCATGAATTACAATATTAATGTCATGGGTCCCAATCTAGCAGTTTCTTCGTGTGGAAGGGGCTATGTCATGAGGTTCAGCTCCCTTTCACATCCAAGCTACCAAACATGTTCCAGAGACCCACTATCCATGCATATTATAGGCTTGCAACTGTGCCCAGCTAAGCTGACCTGTAGATGCAGATGTTGATCAGCTTGTATGGAATGTAAAGTGGCTGATACTTTCTCCAACACCTGGCATACTGCAGATGGAAGGTACACATTCTCATTCAGGAAGATTATCTGTTTTTAATAATGACACATATATAGGCTGGGTTACGATCCTAAGGTGACAAGTGAGGACCTGCAACAAAATGCTGTCGTTCAGGATTCCAACCTCTCCTTTCCATTCCCTTCCTTCCTGTTTGCTACTCCTCCCTAGCCAGTCAGCATTCTACATCTGACCTCATTTTTCTTAATATTATTTTGGTTCACCTACAATCTTTGGGGTTTTCTCAAGACTGCTAATACTTTTATGATTAGGGAGGTGTGGGGAATAGTGAAATTTTGTTCCCAAAGTACTCACAATATGATTGACCGCCTGCACAAAGGAATGGAGCACAGGCTTAAGAGTCCTGGGGAAAGGCCTAACCTCTCATCCATCCGTCACTCTTAATCTTCCACTCACATGACCTAATTCCACTCACAGACTAGATTGGCCTTTGGTCTGATCCAGCACAGCAATCCTTATATTTTTATGACTCCATCTATTCTGTATCATCGTAACTCAGAATGACAATTCTCAATGGCTGAGAGATTATTTTCCAGGTAGATTTCAAGGTGTAGACAGGAGAGGTTATTTTCCCAACCTAATCTAGAGAATTGATAAGAAATATAGTAAAGAAAAGAGCTATTGAAAATTCAGTAGGAAATCCTATTGAAAAGGTACTTGATTCACTTCTCAGATCACAATAGATTGGTTCACCCTCATATAATAATGCCCAGCGACAAGGATCAGGTGGATATTTGAAGAAGGGGAGACTTTCCAGTTCACTAACTGGTAATGTCTTCAAATATTGTTATCAAAATGTAAGAATGGGAAAGTCCGCAACAACCAAGCTGCTCAAGATTGCCCCAGACTAAATGCAGCTTATACCGGTAAGTACTGCCAGGACAGCAAGTAACACAGATATATTGTTGCTTCTGTTTGCGTTTGGATCCCCATAAACCATTAAATGGTTTTGGAAAGGTTTTGATTTTGACACCCACAAAAGCAAATGTCTACTGAGCCCTGAAGGGGCATACACTGTTGGTAAGTGAGCACAGTCATGTGCCAAACCCACAAAAACATGGAGGGTGGGTTGGGTTTTTTTTTAAGATTACTTTTAAACTTTAATGGCAAATCGTTGCTTTCTTCACATAAAAAAAAAGAGCTGTGCTCAGTCCCATTAGGGAACTGCTTTAGAATCTGATACTCTGAGCAACTTAAATAGTTTAATTTTAATTTGTAGCTTCTTTTTAAAAAATCTAAACACATTTCTTCTAAATAATGAATTTCTTTACCTTCTTTAGTTTCTCTGTTTTTGTATTCAATTTTTAAATATTTTTTAAACTTTTATCTATTCTAGCTTACTTTTGCCTAATCTCTCTCTAATTGCTTTGCCTTCTTACTGCATGAAACAGGGGAGTGGACCACACAGTTTATAGGACTCTCCCCAACTCTGATTCTATGGTTCCAAGCCATGCCTATTAATATAACTAACCCTTCCTGTAGCAACCCCAGTTTGTTTGTTGCAACCCCATCCTTTCTTCTTTGGAGCCCCAGGTAGCAAACATGGATGTATCCCATTTCTCTCTCACAATGATTCTTAGACTGAAAGTTTTTAAACCCATTTCCCAGTCCAAGTCTGATATACACTGACTTTTGCTAATGAGCAGAGGTCTCCAATATGGCATCCTCCACATGTTGTTGGACTACAATTCTCATAATTCCCAAACAATAGGCAGTAGTCAGGAACAATGGAAGCTGTAGTCCAGCAACATCTGGAGGGAACCACATTGGCTCAAGTATTACAGTTTGGCTGATGAAATATATTTAAACAATTAAAAAAATGTCCAGTAGCAGCTTAGAGACCAACTAAGTTTGTTCTTGGTATAAGCTTTTGTGTGCATGCACACTTCTTCACATACCACTTCTTCAGATACTGCGTCAGACCAACACGACTACCTACCTGAATCTAGAGATTTGGCTGATGTTAGATATATTTGACTGCTAAATGCAACATGAACACTGATAGTTACCATGAATACTATGCCACTTTATATTTCTTAAATTGCTATAGCTTGACTAAAGGTAAAGGGACCCCTGACCATTAGGTCGAGTCATGAATGACTCTGGGGTTGCAGCGCTCATCTCGCTTTATTGGCCAAGGGAGCCGGCGTACAGCTTCTGGGTCATGTGGCCAGCATGACTAAGCCACTTCTGGCGAACCAGAGCAGCGCACGGAAACGCCGTTTACCTTCCCGCCGGAGCGGTACCTATTTATCTACTTGCACTTTGACGTGCTTTCGAACGGCTAGGTTGGCAGGAACAGGGACCGAGCAACAGGAGCTCACCCCGTTGCGGGGATTCAAACCGCTGACCTTCTGATCGGCAAGTCCTAGGCTCTGTGGTTTAACCCACAGAGCCACCCGCATCCCTGATAGCTTGACTATCCTTAGACAATATATGGGACATGCTTTCCATCTCCTGGTTATGTCAGTTGAAATTTTGCCTGGAAAAGAATGTTAGGATCACTAAAGGAAAACTAGGTCTTATGGTTTTTGAATGTGATTATCACATTGGTGACATGCTGCGATTTTCACATCCATCATCACATTGTGCTACTGAATACAACTCACACTCTGTGACATCTGATCACTTCACATGCATAATGGGGCATAGTGAAATTAACAAAGTGTATTATTTTGAGATTACTTTCTCTAAATCTTCTTGTCTCTGATGTAAAGAAGAAAGCTGCCATTTTAATATCAGGAAACATGGGACATGTATTTTTAAAGCAAAATTAGCACAGGACTTGTCAACATGCCATTATGTACTAATGCACAGAATACCATCATAGTGAATAATATTAGCCTATGAAGATGGCGGTACTTTAGATACAGATTCTTCCATTAGTTTGGGAGATTTAATCCAGCGTCTGTAAAGCACCACACTGGCTAAATGATATCAATAGATAAAACTCTACCTTATTCTTTCAATACAAGAAAAGGTGGTGAACTGTTTCCCCAGAAATCCTATCACAATCACACCCTTCTGTGAAAACAGCAAATAGTCTTGTGGCACCTTAAAGACTAAGCAGTTTATTACAGCATATTAATTCTTTGTGCGTTAGTGTCCATTTCATCAGAAAGTCCTTTAGATACTTTCAAAAGGCACGTATGCTTTATGTAGGTAGGAGTGGGTGGGATCCTGCCCACTCTCTACACACCTGACCTGCTTGTGTTGATCCAGAATTAGAACAGAGTCTATGGAATATATCATGTAAATGCTTAGGCTCTCTTCACATGACTGAAGACCCTGCATTTGGCAGGGTGGAGCCCTGCTTTCTGGGAGAGACTCCATATCCATTTAAATCAATAAGCTGGAAGCCTTCCCATCTGCTGATTTTCTCTAGAAGTGGGCAATCGCCTTTGATACAATTGGATCATCTCGGTTGGTTTAATCATCAAGTGAAACGCTGCAGAAAAGTTTCCTACAATAACATTTGAACTTGGAGCACCAGCCACCAGGATCTGACATGAACTATACCAGGAATTCCCAAATCTCAGGGAATGTTTGGGAAGCAGTAATAATAATAGCAATAGTAACCACAACAAGAAGCAGTACTTAGGTAATGATTTAGAGTATACAGAGTGCTTCACATACTGTCAAGTCCTGGCAAGGATGAGCCCACAGTAGTCTGAATGAAGCGGGCCAGGCAGTAGTCCAGAACAGGAAGTCAGGGCAGGGACTGACAGCCAGGGATAGCTGTTCAAAAGTCTGAAAATTAGAAAGCAAGGGTAATAAGAACATTAATCCTTCAGAACCCTGGACAGGTCCCAGGGAAGGAATGACCTTTCCCAACAAGTGCTGGGTGCTAACTAAACCCTAATGTTGTCCCTCAGACTGAGTACCTCTCCTAGGCACTGGCTCCTTGCTAGGGAATGGAATTGTTAAAGAGGCATGCCTTTGCCTGGAACAGGTACTCACTCGCATCTCCAGCATCTCTTCCTAGGCACACTCCTGGAAGCAGTGGCAGTTGGTGACCTTTGGGACTGGTAGGGAGGAAGGCAGGGAGGTAAGCAGTGCTTGGAGCCACAGTCAATGACAGACATAGTTACTGGTAATTAATTCTAGTTTTGTCTTCCTTCTCTTCTTCAGGATGTATTATAGCAATGTTCTCCCCCCCACCTCAGAAAATGATGGTTTTACAGTTGGAACAGCAACCCCACCAAAACTTGTAACGGAAGATAAATTCTGATTAAATGATTGTGCCAAGATGCAGTATCCACTTGTATTTTGTGTGACAAATATCTGTAAGGAAGGGACTAGATTCCTGCCTGCTTCTGTCCACCTTATGCACCTTTACACATATTTTTCATGGGGGAGAAGAAATGGAACCAGACCATAGCAGATCCAGCCAACATCCTACGAACCCTTCATCACTATGATCACTGGATTTACACCAAATGTACATCTGGCCTAAAGTGTGTGGGGGTTTCTTTTTCTTTCTTTCTTTGTTACATTCTAGATGTGCTTTGCATGAAGTGTTTTCAGACTGTCATTAACTTTGCTGCTCATTTCCTAAGTCTAAACCACAGTGCTGAAATAAAGCACAGCAGCTCATGTAAATATGGAGTGTTCTAAGAGGGAGGGGAGATCGGGGGGGGGGAATCAAAATCTGAATTAAGTAAATGCCAGAATAAAGGAAGACAGTAAGGCTGCAGAACTGCTTGGCTCATCCTGTAAGTAGCATGACTTATATGTTGATTCAGAATAATAGCCTCGTGGCTACCTGGAAGTCCAGCAGTCTAAGCAGTAGGTTATTGTAATAAAATAAGACAACTGCCAAGAAATTAGATAGCCACATCTCCCTCGGACAAAAAGGCCTGAATAAAAGGGGAAAGGGTATGCTTCATTTTGGTTAACAATTAGCATGGAGTATATTTTTTCAGCCGTGTTCAGTAGACAAAGCCCTGTTGTCATAATATCTTTACTCCATTACACTTAAGAGATTGTCAGGTTTTCCATTATAAACCTCAGTGTTTTGAGCTTAGCAGCTTGGCTGAAAAACCAGACTTCTGCCTTAAACTTGCCAGGAAAAAGTTTGATCTTTGTGCAGACTATGTATATATCTTTATTTTCATCCCAAATTACATTGTTACACGCTCCCCACTTGGGCAAGTAGTGAGGATTTTCTAGGGCAGCGTTGCCAGCCACTGGCTCCTTTTGTGAAGGGACTTACAAAACTTAGATAATTTTTTAAAAATATCCAATACAAGAAGTACACAAATGGAGGCAAACAGCACTCATTCCTTGTGGTAGGCAGTATGCTTCTCCATACCAGTTTCTGGAAACCACAGGAGAGTAGAGTGCTCTTGCCTTGCACTCAGGTTCTGCTTGCAGGCTTCTCATCGGGACATCTGGTTGGCGACTGTGAGGCAGGGCTGTTCTTATGTTCTTAATAACAGAACAAGGCAGCAATCGGTACCCATTTACCAGGGAGTAGGCTTCATGGAGCTATGTGGAGCTGACTTCTGAACAGACATATATGGAGACGCATTAAGTTCAAGACAATTTAATGGCTTCAGCAAGTACCAGAATGGAGGGGGGGGGCAGCTTCTAATACTCTCTCTCTCTCTCTCTCTCTCTCTCTCTATATATATATATAGTAGATGGTCCAGCATATGTAATGGAAAAAGAAAAGTACAAAGTTGTCCTATGTAGAGAGATTATAAAGTTAAGCCTTGCTTTTCCCCCACTGTGAAATTAACTTCATGAGCAATATTTTTCCTGGTGTTAAACCAATAGTTTCAATTAATGAAGACACCTCCGGGCTTGAGCACATTCTTGAAATCACAGTATAAAAAATTTAATATATGTATATAATATATGCATGATTTTCACAGAAATTTGAAAAATAAACCTATGGAATAGAAGTGAATATATTATATGTGATTATTAAAAAAAAGAAAAATTGTGGCTAGCCAGTTCAAAAAGACAAGCACACTTGCACTTGCTCGGAAAAGGAAATTCTTGAAAATTGATTCAAGGCTTTCATTTGTAGCTGCTTCTCTCTTCTGTTCAACTATGACCAGAATCAGACTTGCCAATGAAACATTTGTTTAAAGTTCTTCCCTTCAGTAGCCAATAAAACAGATAAAAGAGATACATTCCCAGTTTGCTGTTTGCTAACATCTAACTTTCTGTTGTTTTGTGCTAGGTGCAATTCTATTGCATTTCATCAAGGGCTTTTGTGTCTCCCTAGCAGTGGCGTAGCGTGGGGGGTGTAGGGGGGGCCGGCCGCACCGGGCGCAACATCTGGGGGGGGGGCACGCTTGCACTCGCAGCTCTCTGCCCCTACCTGGCTTACTAGGGTTAGGGGGCATAAATTACTTGCCTTGCCCCGGGTGCTGACAACCCACGCTACGCCACTGCTCCCTAGTCTCAACTGATAACAGTTTATCAAATTCTGGAATCTCTCCTTAGATTTGCATCTAGGGTGCATGGTAGATTTCTACTGTGATTTGACAACAGTACTTCCTAAAGATTATATATCCTAGCTATGGATATATAGAATCAGTTCCAGAACCCCTCTGTATTCTGTTCCAAGTGGACATCTCCAAATAATACTGAAGAAATAGGTATTTGCAACTGGATTTTGTTTCTTAAGATTCTGTTTGGTGAATGATAAGGTAAACTAGGTAACACTTTGGAAGTTCACGCTTGTGCCAAAAATATCTTGGATTTTATTTTCAGATAATGTGACAGGTGTTTTAGGCATAAAGTAGAACTCAGTTACATACACCTTCTTCTCTCCTGCCTGTGTGTGTGCTCACACAGTTAATGTTTCTGATGCTATTGCATATAATTCAGTATTGGTATTTGTAGTCTAAAGATTCTTTAATGGAAATTATTATTTTAAGAAAGATGTCATAACAAGTAACTAGTGTACGTGTTTCAAGACCTGAAGATGTGAGGTTATAATCAACCATATTTCTTTATACAGTGAGTAAAAAAAGTAATATTTCAGCATATAATATAGTAGATATTAGTTGAACTGTTGCTAGGAAATACTAGACAGATTTGCTCAAAAAACTTGGGCTGAGATTGTTTAATGCCTGGAAACCAGTGAAAGACTTTTCATTTGAATCTGAACCTTAACAATTCTCAGACTACACAACAGGAATATTTTACAGTAGCAAAGGGCATTTCAGCTGGGTTGGCCTTAGCCTTTCACTACTTGAGAAATCATCAAAAATAACCAAGAAGTTGTGGTATGTAGGTCTTCAGTATAGACTTAAAAAGTGTTGGGCACAATGGGGAGAAATCTGGGAACAGTGGAAACAAAGCAGTACATAAAATAATCAGACCAAGGTAACAGTAGAAAAGGAAAATGGAGCACAATGAGCAAAGATGAATGGGATGTTAAGTAAAAAGTAGCAAAGGCAACAAGAAGAATGTATTTCTTTGTACCAAAATCTATGCAAGTTATTTTGAAGCAGCAATGATGAGTATGCATGGCTGAGATTCCATCTGCACTGTGCATATAAAGCAGTAGCATACCATTTTAAACACTCCTGTCTCCCCCCAAAGAATCTTGGGAACTGTAGTTTGTTAAGGATGTTGAGCATTATTAAGAGACTCCTATTCTCCATACAGAGCTACAGATCCCAAAGGCCTCCCGGAAAGGGGGACTGATTCTTAAACCACCCTGGGAATTGCACCTCTCTGAGGCATCTGGCTTGGCCACCATGCTGGAGTAGATGGGCCCTGGAATCATAGAATGGTAGAATTGGAAGGGTCATCTAGTCCAACTCTTGTAATGCAGGAATCTCAACTGAAGCGTCCATGACAGATGGTTATCCAACTTCTGCTTAAAAGCCTCCAGTGAATGAGAGGGGGACCGTTCCATTGTAAAATGGAACTGCTCTTACTGTCAGAAAATTTTTGCTGATGTTTAGTAGGAATCTCCTTTCTTTGGTTTGATCCCAAGGGTTCTGCTTGTGTTCTTATGTGAGCTGGACTCGGGGGGCGGGGGGGGGGCTACAGATTCCACATCTCTGTTCTACATGCAGAGATGTATGCACATTACTGATGTGTGATAGAACTCACATAGTGTGAGGGCAGGGCCTGTCAGTTACTTCTTTGTGGGTTTAGAGCTCCTTTAAATGTCTTTTTTTAAAAAAAAGAAGAAGAAGAAGAGGTTTGGGGCACTGTGCAGAGCCAGAGAAGGTTTGGAAAGATTTCATAAGTCTGCTACCTGCTGAACATTTTGTGTGCACAGAAACAGAGGATAAATGGAACATTTGTCTTGCTGAGGATCATATATGGTGCTGATAGCAGACCCGTTTTGTTTGTTTTTTGACCCTACAACTTCCAAGTCCCAACTCCATACCTCAGCTTACTAGACTTTCTCCCTGTCATTAAGCAAAGGAATTATGTGGCAGGGCTTCCGGAGCTTCACATGTCTCAAATTAGAATCATTCCAACAGGAAGATGCTTATTAGGTTCATAATGAGATTCTTGCATCACTATTTATGTTTCTCTCAGTACATGTTCTGTACTAATATAGCCTGCATATGTAGCTAACAATGGTGATAGTTGTGGCTGGGACTCAAGGGGGGGGGATGGAAATAACGCTGCAGATTCCAGTGGTAGGAATGATATCTATAGCCCTTTAATCTAATTTTTGCCTCACATTTCCAAATCTGTTCATAATTAGAGCCTACAATATGACTCTGATTTATATTCACCATGGTATCTTATGCCTTCATTTGCTCCATAGTTTCATTTTTACTGGTAATAAACAAAAGAGCCTGGTGTTAGATCAGCTAAAGCTTAGCAACTGCTACTATGTATTATAGAAGAAGAAAACTTTCCCCACAGTTTATATTATGTAAAGCTAGATTGTTTGAATAGAGAGTTACATTATAAAGAACGAAACCTGGGGTTGGTAGAGGATCCCCCCCTGTCTGTGGAACACTTTGCAGTAAATTCAGAACAGAAGGGCACTTTTCTGGAATAAAAAAATGTGCGCTTTGTTGGCTACCAGAGTACATTTGCTGCTTCCCAATTTCAGAATGAGATGATGGATATTTAGTAGATATTGGACAGCCTGAAGTAAAACCTCATAATTTAAAACATTCCACTTTAGTGCATTCCAAGAAAAACATGGAACAGTGAACAAAAGGAGCCGTATTGTAATAAGAAAACAACTAGGTACATTTCCCTAAATTTTTTTTTAAAACTGGGAATCTAAATGTGAGTTACTAGCCAAAAATGCCATTGTATGTTTTAGTGTGTTTTTTTTTAAGAACAACCAAACTTAAGTTTGTTTAAATATAAAGTTTCCATTTGCAGACCAGGGCTTAAATGCAATTGTGTATCAATTTTCACTCGTAAGTACATCCTATTGAGCTCAATGGAGCTTACTCCCAGGTAAATATAGTTATAGGATGGCAGCCTTTATCTCAGCTGCCTGGTGACACCCTGTCCCAGAGGAACTAATATTTATGCATACTTTCCACACATGAATTGATTCCACCTTTCCTGCAAATGGCTGTAGTGATGGAAAGAACTCAACCTCAGCATCCTTGACTGTACAAGCAATGCTCTTGTACTGTCACATAAACGCCACAGAACATTTCTGATTATCTGTAGGGCAGGAGAAATGTGTCCCAGACTCTGGCTCCTTGCAGCTAAGCTGAACAGATGAAGAACAGTGACAGTTTGGACAGTACTGAACACATATTGGAACAGGGTCTCTAAATGCAGACACAGCAGCAGAATGGAGTGGTTGTGTTTATAAAAATAATGGAGGCTTTCAAAATGACATATAGTTGCCCCATGGTCAATAGCAACTGCCTACAACTGCCACATACTGTGCGATGAATTCAATCTCTGTACTTAGTTTTGTTTAATTTGTTTTTCATTGTCTTAACATGTGCTTAAGCAACTTAAAATAGTTAAAATAACGTGTATTTTATTTTTAAGAGCTAATGTTAAAGCTGTTGCCAATTGCTTAGGAGAAAAGGGTTTGAAGAATAATACTCCAGTCCACAGAGATTTGCAATAAAATACAAAATTGTGTCAAAATCCCACAGGCAGAAAGGGGTTAAGAGCATCTTCCTATGTTTTGGGAGAGGCTCCTAGCGGACTTCAGTTCTCAACTTGCAGGAAACAGAGCAGGATGGAAACTAAACTTCCATTCCCCTTCCCATTTTTGTGGAGCCATAAAAGAGAGCAGGAGCTTGGTTCTGTAGGTCTGTGCCACTATTCTCCAATTTTGATGTTTGCCTTGAAGAAAGTAAATTTGATACAGCCAAGCAATTATGGAGCATAGTTATGTGCTCAAATCCTGCTTGCGGGTTTCCTGGAGGCATCTGGTTGCCCACTATGAGAACAGGATGCTGGATTAGATAGGTCATTGGTCTGATCCAACAGGCTCCTTCTTCTGAAAATACACTCTTATTCTGAAAATACACTCACTGAATCAGTTTAGTACCGTCTGGTGCCCTTTTGCCCCGAATGGCGCTGCTTCTCAGCACTATCTTCCTCCACCTCTTGCTTATCTACACTGCTGTTTAATCCAATTAGCTGTGGTATCCCCACAGGACTTTGCTTATGGTTGTCTGTGACATTATTAACATCAGATTTGGTTTCATTACATTATTTACAAAATTAAGGGACTGCCATAGCCAGTAGGATTAGATGGGAATGGGGGGAAAAGGCAGGGAAAATGGCAGAGAGAAGTACACCACCTAAGCAATATTGAGAGATGTTCACAGAGGCTTTGATGTCGACAGCGGCTTCTTATTGGCCTTCCATTTCTGCTGTGGCATTGGGACAAACCACATGATAGTGGGGAGCCACTGCTGTTGGACAAACAGACTGCAGAGGGCATTTGGCAAAGAATTTTAAAGTGGCATTTTGTGCTGTGGCACAGTTTGTATTTGCCAAATGGATAGTTTTATTTAATATGTGTACTACTGAAATTTGATCAGAAAGGCACTGTGCAATTCTCTCTCTCTCTCTCTCTCTCTCTCTCTCTCTCTCTCACACACACACACACACACACACACACACCAATCTTGGTGGACTTTGGGGGCTAGTTGCAGGGCAGCTTGACATCAGACTAGCAAATAGAACCAAAACATGGTGTGTCAAATGTGTCTCCCTGAGGAAATTCAGTGTGACAACTCCAGTATGTGCCCTGACCTTCATTGCCTGAAGGACATTTGCCTTGTTCCTGTTTTTCAAGCTTGGCATTCTGTTTCCAGGCTACTCAGGAGCTAAGTCCTTTCCTTTGTATTTTACTATTCTGAATTATTTGGAATCATCTGCAGACTTGACCACTATTTACCACAGTATGCAGCACAAAGTTAAGGCTCTGTTTTGTTTCCCCCAGCTCTTGTGTGTTTAATTGGTCCTAACCTGAACTATGTTTGCTTTAACTGCTTATTTGTGTTCTTAGACACAGTATGTAATTAAAAGCTAAGAAACTCTGTCCCATGTAAGACTGTCCCCTCCTAGTGGTGTTGTGCTGCTTTGCCCTAGCTTTTCTCTTGTTCTGAGACTTCTCACAATGCCCTGGTATAGCAGCTCCCCTGTTTTGTATAGGTTTCATTGGTGACACATAGGAGAAACCAAGCAATGCTTTTGTATTCCCATTTGATTGCAGGGTGTTTAAGGCAGAATTAAACTCAGCCTCTAGAGTCAAGCATCCATTATTTTGAGGTTGGTGGCTCTGCCCAATTTGGGGCATTTCCCTAGCACTTCCCCGTGCCCCCATCCCACACTGTTTCGGATCCCCCTTGCCATTCCAAAAAAATAACTTCAAGGGTTCATGGGGCTGGAGGGGGAATTGGGGATGGGAACGTTGTAAGTTTGTTGTAGCACTGGGGCCTAATCTGAATAGTAGAGTGCTTGGTATCTGGTGGGCGGGACTTGTGTGTTTTGCTCCCGAATCAGCCTCTCCCTTCAGTATGTTCAGTTAAGAATGTCAGTTACGAGGGACCAACTGCCTCTTCTTTTTTCTTGTTTCAGACTTGCCTCACATTGCATTTAGCTTCTCTCATCATGTTATTTTGTTACAATTTTCTTTATTATTAAAGCTTAGTTTACATTTACGTGAGCTACTTACTTTTCTCAAAGAAAAAGAAACTCTGCCGAGGAAAGGTGTGGAATATCCTAAACTTAAGTGAGTTAGGGGATATTCCCAGTTTGCCAGGAGAATAGATTTTGTTAATCGTCCCCCCACTTCCACAACAAAAGGTTCCTTGCATGAGCTTCCTGCTGCTGGCAGTACTTTGGATCTAAGTCATAACCGACTGAAAAATTGCTAGACGTTTTATTCTTTTTCTTAAAAAAAAATTCCACATTTGACTGCAGCAGGTTGTTTAATGTGTTTAAACATTGCAGAAGCAGACAGGGATGGTTCAAGATGTTTTGCTGCCTGAGGCGAAAGGCAAGATGGCAGCCCCATTCCACATACAGAAGCCAACAGAAGTGGCAGTTGGCTCTCTTCAACACTGGGGATTGGCAGCAACCATCATCACACCTAAGAAAAGTGGGCTACCTTGGGGGCATGAGTACACCACATAGCATACACAGCCACCACTTTCTGCCTAATGTAGGGCCAGCCCAATTTTCCACCTGAGGTGGCCATCTCTATCTAATGGTAGGGCTGGCTCTAGAAGCTGGAGAGGTGTCTGGTTTTTACAACAAAGGGAGTCATACGGATTAGGCTTGCCTTCATGTATATAGCCTCTGTTCTCAGCTGAGCTCCAGTGAAATACTTTTTCTATTAAAACTGGACCAACTTTATGTGGTTTTGATAGATCCATGTTTAAACACACAACTGTTGCTGTCACATCTAGTTTGACCCCAAGCGCTTTAAATAGCTCTTTCCTCCATTTTTAAATTTCATATTCATGTTTGATTGGACCTGCTGCAGAGAAAGTGAGTTGCTTATTTAGTTGCACTGAACAGTGTTCTTGTTTTAATTGCTTAGTTCTGCAACAACGGAATTGAAGGAAGCTGAATGAGAACATTGCCTTTATTCTTGAAGTTTATATTTAACTGGTGAATCTGTGGGTTGCATAGATACAAGCACAGACTAATTGTTCTGTACACCAGTCTTTTATCATCTCTCCCCACCCCCCCACCCCATGGCATTTTCAGTACTTATATTATCATATCTAAAATGACATCTTGGTCCTATTAGGGTGTGAACATCCCAAACTGATTCATCCCAAAATTCAGAACTGATTTATATATAATTATTTTCTACCCTTCATAAAGACTGGGCTTGCGCTCTCTCTCTCTCTCTCTCTCTCTCTCTCTCTGTGTGTGTGTGTGTATCTGTGTATGAGAGAGAGAATATATTTTATGTAAGCTGCTTATGGATTTTAGTGTTTAAGCTCCCAGGAAATTTGGGAACAAAGAACAAATGAGCAGAAATAATACGGAGAAGTCACAAGTGTCCCTGTCCCAGAATTAAACTGTTGTTCACAGAGGAATTAAAGGTGATCTTGAATGTATAGAGTGGTATTCAGTGACGTTTTACTCAGAGTAGACTCGCTGAAATTAATGGACATAGCTGATCCATGTTCATTTATTTCAATGGGTCTGCCCTAAGTAAAACTTGGTTGAATACCACTCATAGATAGTGTCACTGAGGATGAACTACTAAGCATACGAATGAGTAGAATGGAACTTGTTAAACATTATCTTTTGAAACAAGACATTCATTAGTTCTTTCAGGTGAAGTCATGAAAACTCAAGGAGATGGTCATTGATTCAAGAGACTAGCAAGTCCCCTTATCACAGCTACACGAGCATTTACTTTAGGTACAAAGCATTCAAACCATTCTGTTGAAATCAGTAGTTTCCAATTTGAGCACATACTTAAATTTCTAAATAATCACCATTTGAGTTCAGTTTCACTTCATTCCTCTGAAGCTGATGACAGTTTCATATGTTTAAACTGGCAATTAAAGGATTCAGAATTATTAATGAGAGGCTTAACAGTGGGATCTACTTTATATGTGATACCATACATTGGTCACATACAAACAAATTCAAACCCACACAACTGCATTATCAGATTGTTAAAAAGATTGATGTGTGTGTAACTGACCCAACTGAAAACCTGACTGAGCCACCTCCTTTTTATACATTGCTGGCTATACTAATTTCTTTTCCTTAAATCCTCAAACAGGTTAAGGTTGATGGGTCCAAAAAAGGATATTTAAATATATAGCCAGATAATGTTAGAAGTCCCACTGAAATCAGTGGGTCTTAAATGCTTAACTTGTGATTAGGCCCTATTGATTTCAATGAAAACTAAACATGCTGCTTCGCTTCTACTTTATGTATCTGTCAAAATAATAAAGCTGGAGTTTGCATTTTGTAATCTGGGCTCCATGACCAACTTTGAATGCCTATGAAATAGTGCAAATGTTTTCCTCCTAGACATCACTGAAGACAAAACACTGCACTGTCTGCAAGGAATAACTCAAGCAGAGAAAACTGACATCTCTAACTTAGAAAGCACTTTTACAGCATGCCTTACAAAAGGCCCTTGGGCCCTGGTTAAACAACAGCTGCTCAGACCCTATATATTCAGCTCAGCACAACCACAACCCATTTCATTAGCTGACCATTACTCAACCATTAAATCATAACATATAGCTTTCCTCTTAAACTTGAAATGTTTTGTGTGTGAGGTGGGCAAGATACTCTCAGGTTAAGATGTAAAGATTTAGGAGAGAAATGAGGTACTGCCTACGCACTCGTGTTCACAAAACACCATTTCTTTTCATGGCACCACCTCATGGCATACATGGTCACCGGCAGTCTGGCAATAGCAGCGGTTCTGTTCCTCCTCCTTGCTCTCACCACAATCCCAGGGTGAAAATTGACTCCAAAGGGAGAACAAAAGGAAGAACAGCACCTAGCACTGCTTGGTCTGTCCATTTGGGTTCAATTCCCACTATGAGAAGAATTTGGACAGACAAGTATGAAGAGAAAAACACCAGGAGCTCACATTAGCCATTGCTACTCCACTGCATCAGACGCAGAGGAAGAGGGAAGACAGGCCAACACCACCCATCCCCAAACCAACAGCAGCAAGCCTGATGTCAGAGGTCAATGGTGTTTCAGCTGCTGGTGTGTGAACAATGTCAGATGCCCAGTGACGCCAACTGCTGATGTTGTGTTGCCTGATGTTGTGTTGCTTTGGGTAGCCCAGCGAGTTCATTGTCAGCTTCCAGCTATCACTCTCCATTCAGACAATACTCAGCTTGGGAAGCAGAAGCAGAAATCTGTCCTGCCGGGTCATGTTCCACACATTGAAATAGATCCATGTGTTAAGATCTGAAATGGCACAAATCTCTTTTCTTCAAACAAAAGTACCTGTTTATTCAGTGTAGATGACATTAGTGTTATGAAGTCCACAAAACAAACTAAATACAACAAGCACTCTTAAGATGGACTTTATTTTTATTTTAAAAAATTAAGCTCAAATATACTCAAGAGTGTGTCTTGCTGAATCTTGGCCCCTTCCCTCTGCTGAAACTGTAGAAACGTACAAAAAATCCCAAGATTGGTATGACCCTTACAGGTCTCTGTTCAGTTACTGAGTAGAAGAAATGTCATAACATTCTCCAGTTCACAATTAAACAAATTCCTTTATTTCTCATTCCAACACCCCTTGTATTTTGAATTTGCCTCTATGCCTTTGTGGTCCTAATTCTTCTGCTCAGTGTCTTGGTTTAACCAAATCTCTGCCATTCCAAGTCTATCTCACTTTTCCTTCAACACATGTGTTTCTAATTTAACAATCTTGTTATATATTGTCATGAAACAACCCAGCTTCCCCCTCCTGGGTGCTTTGTGGGAATCCTAAGTAGCAGCCGTAGACAGGAACTCTCTTTTCTTTGGGGGGTTTTGTTTTAAAGAACAGTCAAGGCAAACAGATTTAAGTAAACAAATAATCCTAGAGAACCCACAAGAGGTCCCAAGGCCGAGGCTACTGTTTTATGTCTCTCAAGAGAGTTGGGCCTGTTGCCAGCATAAATCTATTCCATATTAAGAAACTTAAACCCCCTCAAATGTATTAGGCATAATACCAATATTCAGCCATTTGGTACTGGAATTTAACTTAATTCTGCTACAGTCGTCCTTATATACTTTCCCAATGAGGAATCAAAATCAAAACCAGAGACTTTTGCTTGACAAACAGTAATGGCTGACTGTTGTTTGCCTGACTACAATATAGTCCTTAATTAAGGGTGACAGAAGAGCAACTCAGAGAATCATTTGGGGTATTCACACATTGCATTCAGTGAGCGAACAACTTCTGTACTTGTGTACACAAACAGCTGAACTATATGCTTGTGCAGTTGCTCGTGTCTGTGTAACTGTATGCACAATAGTTGAGTTTCACAAATCAACAAGTGTATAATCATTCACACAACAGCTTGTTCATGGGTAGAAACAGCTTGTACCTATGTTCAGTGAAACTTGTGAATAAGCCTATAGTGACTTTAATTCAGACACAGTCAAAGTAGTGAGTGGGAGCCAGATACTTTTCTGCTACCTGTGATAGTGAAAACGTGGGACAGGGGGCCCTTTTCTTTTCCAGCACATGTGAAACTTGAGATTTTAAGTCACTTCGGAAAGGCATCCTGGAGACAGAGGCAAATTTTAGTGACTTCAACTGATTCAGTCTCTCAAGGCAAATCTAAAAAAATGTAGTATAAATGCCGACAACTGGGAAACACTGGCCTGCGAGCGCTCCAATTGGAAAATAGCCTTTACCAAAGGTGTCATGGGCTTTGAAGACGCTCAAACTCAGGACGAAAGGGAGAAACATGCTAAGAAGAAGGCATGCTTGGCAAAACCTCACCGTTATCTATCAACTCCCACCTGGAAACCTATGTCCCCACTGTGAAAGGACATGTGGATTCAGAATTGGCCTCTACAGTCACTTAGAGACTCACTGTTAAAACCATGTGTATGGAAGACAATGTTACGAGTGATCACCAAAGAAGAAGACTAGGCATGTAGCCTTGGGTGTGCCATAGGGGGCGCTGCAACAATGGTGCAGGTGAGAATTTTGGCATCATGCAGGGTGCAATGGAAATTTAAGACCCCAAGTTCCACCACTGCTGGAGATATGGAATACCACTAAACAACCAGGGATTCAGCTGAGTTGATAAACATCACATTTTCCTCCTCACTTCCTCCACCCAAACCACTACTTTAAAATAAGCTAAATATTGTTTAATTCCCTAAAAGTTCAAGTAAATGCAAAGACAAAGACAAAGAAGACATTTGAGAGAGTAGGTAAGACAGAAGAAGTAGAGACAAGGATTCTAAAGGATTACATTACTGTAATCTGTCTTTCTATGGTACAATGTATATCTCTTAGAATTACTGGGAAATATTCTTGGAGGGACGCTGGTGGCGCTGTGGGTTAAACCACAGAGCCTAGGACTTGCTGATCAGAAGGTCGGCAGTTCAAATCCCCGTGACGGGGTGAGCTCCCGTTGGTCGGTCCCAGCTCCTGCCCACCTAGCAGTTCGAAAGCATGTCAAAGTGCAAGTAGATAAATAGGTACCACTCCGGCGGGAAGGTAAACGGCGTTTCCATGCACAGCTCTGGTTCACCAGAAGTGGCTTAGTCATGCTGGCCACATGACCCGGAAGCTTTACGCCGGCTCCCTCGGCCAATAAAGCAAGATGAGCGCCGCAACCCCAGAGTCAGTCACGACTGGACCTAATGGTCAGGGGTCCCTTTACCTTTTATTCTTGGAGTAGGAATATTCGAGGGCTCAGTTCTGAAAAACACTGAAGAAAACAATAGCCTGTTATGTTGTCAATGCTTTTCAAGAATTTTCAGAAAATTCTCCTTATAATTGCTAAGAAACTGGATAACCTCTCCACAGTCTTTATATGCGTGAGAGTACTGTTGTTTTAAGCAAATCCATCTTCAAAGTTGTATAAACCTTTTGGAATCAAAAGCTGCAATGTTTTTTGGAACATTGGAACATAAAAGCTGTAATGTCAAGCTGCAATGAAATTTGCATAAAGCATATCTAGAAGTCTAAAATATATTCAGCCAAGGGTCAGATATTTCCCAAAACACTTGGAGGTCATTTACAACCATAGTAATAGAAGTTCAGGTAAAATGTATGCAACAGATCAGGGAAGGTACCAACAAGTCCAACAGATTCTGGTATGGTTAATTAGCACAATCCAAGACCAGAACCTTTCATTTTTTAAAAAGTAAGTTCTGCAGAAATGGAGAACAAAATGGAGCACAAAACCAGATCAAAACAAATATAAGTTGACATGCAAAAACATAATTTTAGGAACACATTTCTAAAAACAGTAAGGTTAATAGCAAGGCTTGTGTAAATACATTAGAAGCAAGAAACCACCAAGGGGGAGATTGGGCCATCGGACGACATAGTGAAAAACATGCTAAAGGAAGACAGGGAGATTGGCAGAAGCTATGAATATGATTTCTGCTCATCTTTGCTCTCTCGTTCTAATGCAACATTGTGCAGATCTATCCAGATATATTTAAAGAACACAGAACAAAGGAGGTAAACATCAGCACAGATATCTTCCCTGCAGCAAAGCTCTGCAATCTGTTGTGTGCAGATGGATTTTTCACTATTGCCACTGATGAGTGACTTGTGGAGATTTCAGAGTAGCATGGAAAAAAACTAGAATATGTTTGGGGCGAGCTGTGGTGCAGAAATGTCCAATATATTAGATGTGATAATATATTATTATTATTATTATTATTATTATTATTATTATTATTAATTACTACTACAATTACCACCTAATAATTTGGCTCCTAAGCACCTTGATTCACTTATATATATTTAAATATATTGCTCTCTTTATTCCATTAATTAGTAGCTCTCTTGGCAATTTAATATGGTAGCATTGCTGTTGCCATTTCAGTACACACAGAAATGGAATTACTCTTCTGCTAATGCTAAGCTCATATGTAATATCTTCACTGGGTCAAAATCATGTGTTTAGCACCTTGTCATTTCAAACCCTTAATATGCGTCATTATAGGCAACTGCCAGTCATTTCACCTGCTAATGGTCTGATATAAAAGTAGAGATCAAAATTAATGACAGCATAAGAAAGCTCTAGGTTAATTTCTCTGAGCGACAATACTTGATATTTCCTCACATTCAGTATGCTATTAAAAGTTTATTTTTTTTATAGAAATCAATTCAATATAAATGAGAGAAAAGGACATTCAGGTCAATATTATTTAAGAATTCATTGGTATGCATTGATTTTTATGACTGCGACTGCTAATTGAACAGAAAACGCTGAACAAAAAACATATTTTGAAGCCCATAAGGTGTTTGCATGAAATATGTCATTTCTTGCAATGTCTGAAAGTTTCTTCCAGGCAGAAACTATGGAAGCTCCAGTATAGCTGAACATCTGTCTTGTCATGTAGGCAGATATTAAGATTAAATTAACTAGAAATGAATAGAATGATACATGACAGGGTGCAGATGTCCCAGCCACAGTGTGATAATTTCATTGCAAAACTATGTAATGAATTCCATACATTACAGAAATACAAATGTACCACTTTAGGTAATTGTGATGAAAAGGTATAATATGCAGTGCATAAACAGACTGCAGACCCAAGGGCGTTTCTCCCCCCTGTACACTATTTCTCTTCAGTCATTTCAAAATGATTTTATTTAGTTTAATGTAAGCCTATTATTGAATCCTTTCTGGGTATTTTCTCCCCTTCTTTCAACATTTCAGAATCTGGATTTCATAGTGGCATTAGAAAACTTCTTGCGTGCCTGCTTTTTCCAATAGATTGGTTTGCTCCCTTTTCCCTCTGTCTATATTGTACCTTAATGTGGCACATTGAAATTCACCAGGACTGGAAATACTTTAAAAGCTTTTGGGCTTTGGGTAGTTTACAAATTGGTGTCTGTTGCCTATGCGCAACTTAGATTAGCAGCAATTGTTCACATACTGTCGCAGATTATTAGCTAATTTTCCTTTATTACTTGCAAATGGACGATTTGTGGACCGTCTAAGTTTAGGCGTGTATAGGTTTGGAAGCATGCAACCGTTTGGTAATCCATAGTGGGCCTCGTTGTGCTTTGGCGTGTGAGAGGAAGGGAGCTAACTGGGCTCCAGGGTTGGCACTGCAGGACCTTGGATTGGTTGCCCCTCACACCAGGGAAAAGGGGTATTGCCCAGGAGTGGACCAGAAAAACTCCTCTCCTCTGGTCTGTTCAGTGGGTATAATAACAGATGAACACATCAGGGCTCTCAAAGACTCCCTCCAATTGGCTGGGAAACCCTCTGCAGTGAGTGTTCCTCGTCAAGTGGTGCTGGGGGAGGTGGCGCTGGCCTGTAATGCCACTGAACCATCAAGAGTAAGTGGACATGGTAGGTAGATGCCACAGATGGCAACTAAGCTTGGCTTACATTCAAAAGGTGCACTGCTGCCCACCACTGCTAAAATGGCTACCCAGGGCCCTACTAAGGAGGGCAGTCAGTGGCAACTCAGCTAGCTCATGCTGCTGAGAGGCCCTTTTGCGCCCCTGGGAACCAAACTGCCCAACAGCTGGTGCCATCCAGTATTTGACAGGAGAGAAAAACTCCATGTAGTACACTGATACTGAACGAGCAAGCACATCGCAAAGTCTGGGTAGCTCTGCCGCCTCTCGCTTTATGTTTAATAAAATGTTCATTTCAAAAGTTGCATGATTCTGTAAGTCTAATAAACAAACAAATCTCACTATTTTGCTATTGGGATCTCATTCTCTAAATGCAATAATTTTGAAAACTGGGCATGCATACTTATTTTGTGATTCATTGGTTCCAAACAACAAGCAGAAGGTGGAAAGCAAACGTCCCAGGCAATGAGCAATAGCAATTTGAGTATGCAAGGAATTCAAAGTCACACTCTGTGTGCCCAGCATTGAAATCAACAGCACCTTGTTAAAGCATCGACTCTACTAAGCTAAGCTGATAGTTGTAGGGCACGGGTGTCAAACACAAGGCCTGCGGGCCGAATCCGGCCCGCCAGACCTTGCCATGTGGCCCGTGTAGCCGCCGCCGGCCGCCAGCCTTCAGCTTTTATTCTCGCTTTTTTTTTTTGACACAAGAAAGCCGCCTCTTCAGCGCATGCGCGGCAGCCTACAAGCCAGAGAACGTCTGCCCTCTAGCGGCGCCGGCCCTTCTACACAGGAAACCTCCACTTTACATGCATTCAGGAAACCTTCACTTGTTTTTATATTGAGCGCATGCTATCCTGTGATGTGACAGATCCAACAGCTGCCTGAACCCTTCTCTCCTGTACTGTAAGTCCTACAGATACAACCAGCCCTTTGAGGGTGACCAAACAGCTGATGCGGCCCCCGATGAATTTGAGTTAGACACCCCTGTTGTAGGGAGTAAGCAGAGATAGGTCATTTGTGAGACTAATAATCTGCCCTTATAGAAAGAAAGAAAGAAAGAAAGAAAGAAAGAAAGAAAGAAAGAAAGAAAGACATAGTGGCAATTTCTTCACATGGTGATTTTTATATGACTTATTTTTTAAATGAATACAAATTTAAGATTGTTTCTTATGCCAGCTACACAAAACTCAGTACGCTAGACACTAACATTATTTATTTTGATCTGGTGTATCTTTTCCAAGGTGTGCAATTATGTCTTCTGTGTTTTGGGCCAGAGTGGTTTAACAGTCAGTCCCTCTTTCCATGGAACTCTGGGAATTGTAGTTCTGTGAGGGGAGTAGGCTTCTCCTAACAATTATTAGCACCCATAACAAACTACATTTCCCAGGATTCTTTGGTGGAAGCCATTACTGTTTAAAGGGGTGTGATACTACTTTAAATGTATCAGACCCCAGTGTTGATCCAGGACATTGATAGGGCCTGGGGTTGGAAAGGTTGAGAGATGGTGACCATCACAAAATGGTGGCTAATAATTAAGAAACAATTGTGATATCGTCTTCTTTTTCTAGTGGCTAAGAAAAAGAAAGACTTCAGAAATTTTCTCAGAAAAATATATCTGCTGGGAAATGTTGGCTCATTTAGCACAGTGCTGGGTGCTCAGGGTATTACATCTTTTAAGTCAGTTTTTTTATTGCATACAAACTTCCCTGTTCATAGAGAAACACAAACATGCACTTTAAGTGGCATATGTTTTAAAATGTGGAGAGAGAACATTTCATTTCCTCCTGGTGAAAGGAGACTTTGGGTAATCAGGGTCCCCCCCCCCCAACAGATGCCCAGTTTAACTCACTTAAATGAACTTGTTTTCTGACTGGATCAGTTCTTGGATAAGTTAATTGAGCATGGCTGGAAAGAAAATGTTATCTTTATGAAGAGGTAAGTAGTATGAAGCTTCTTGGGTTTCAGGGAAGGTGCCTCATTGTTTACTTCTATTCTCCTAACAGAAGGGGTGCACAAATTCAGCCCAGTGGAAATAATTCTAGCTAATCGCACTCCATTACTTTCAGTGAAATTGAGTCTGCTCATTCTACTTAGGTGAGCTGACATAGCACGGAAACAGAAAAATAATCACAGTCATGCTGTCCAAAATAAGCAATTGGCATCAGGCAGGCTGAAAACTGTACATTTTTGTTCCAATTTACACACTGTGCACACCATTACTTTATAAACTCTCAGTGGCTATGCATCATCCCAGGGAATCAATGCTGTTGGAAACATTGTTCATTAGTACCAGGCAAGTGCTCTGCCATCTTGTGCATATCACAGCTGCTTACTGATGTTCAGCCCTCGGTTTGGGGATTGTGCTGCTTTATTTGACTCTTTTCTATGGAATTCTTTGGGGGCTTCTGTGTGAATGTGAGCCAGGTACGAAACAGTGGTTCGGTAGGGCATACGATGTACCCTACGAATGAAGGAATGGGGCACTTCTAAGAGCTCACTTAGCCCAGGAATTTGTTTTCCAGACCAGAACTATGCTTGCTATCCTTTCATACAGAACTTTTCCTAGCTCCCTCCCCCAAGTTTCTTTGTTTCAACAATGTACTGTAATTTAAAGGAGGGGGAAGTACCCATTTTGGTGTTGCTGCTGTTAAACAAGTGGAAGTCAGAATAAGTTACCAGATTTTTTCCAATGAATCTGGGGACACTTTTCAACTTCAATGGATTTTGTATGGGGACTGATTTGTAAATCCAGTGACTGTCCCCGGGAAACAGGGATGTCTGGTAACCTTAAGTCAGAATCCCTTGACGCGAAGGATGTGGGAGGAATTTGATTTGCTTTGCATTTAAAGGTGTACCTCCCTAATTCTTACTTTCTGAAACAATATGCAAGCTCAAGCGTACCCCTCCTTTGAAATTCATCATTCCCAGCCAAATAATGACTACAAAAATGCATATGCTGGAGCAGATTGTGGATAAAAATGCATATATTAATGAAAATAACACACAAAATGTATCTATCAGGCAAAATTGCATACAAATGTGCACATTCAGAGAAAAGGGGCAGAGTTCAGTTTCAGGGTATCTGTTTGCATTCAGATGGTCCACTATTCAATCCCTGGCACCTCCAGGTAGGGCTGGGGGAAGAAGACCCTGGCCTGAAATGCTGGGGAGCCAACGAATATAATTCTGAGCTAAATGAACCAATGGGCTGGCTTGGTATAAGGCAGCTGTTTCAGGTGGGCAGAGTATAAATAATAAAATTATTATTATTCAGTTATTTTCAAGAAATGGCCCAAATGACTTGCATATTGTCAATTTCCAATATGCTAGGTTGCATTACCATGAAAGCATTTGCTTCTGAAACTGTTTTATGATTTAATAACTTAGGGTACTTGCATTTTTAAGACTAAAAATTTTACTGAAAGAGCATAAGCTTTCATAGGTGATTATGTAATTCAACAGATACTGCCCTGGAAGTGAAAGCTGAATATTGGGGTGGGGGGGTGGCAGGGGGTGGGGTCCTTTTCAGTTTTTAAAGGGACAGTTACCCAAGCTGCAAAGTCTACTTTGCAAACATTGAGTTACAAAATCAGCAGTGCTCCTTCCAGCTATTATAATGCAAGAGGAAACCATAGTCCCTGGGTTAGGCTTTGATTGACACAGCCAATTTTTAAAATTAATTCCTATTCTGCCATCTCACGCTCCATATATCTACAAGCATTGATTTTCCCGTGGATAGCTACTCTGAGTTTCTGATGGAGTGTCCAGGGAGGTTAAAATGTTTATTCAAAGGATTCTTTTTTGTCTTTGTGTTTTCGTTTTTTTTAATGTAGGATTTGTATCCATCCATTATTTCTCTCAAACATAGCCCTGTCTGCACAATGCAGATTGCTGATGGCTATTCCAAGGCATGAGTTAATATACACAACATGAGTAGGTTGAAGCTTCACAGATGTGGTGGGTGGTGTCCCCATACCCTCTAACTAAGTTGGTAGTGTTAATTAATGGACAAACATGGCCCTTAGGTTGATCGCACGGTCTTGTGGCACATAAGAAGAGACCTGGTGGATTGGGATCATCTAGTCCAGCATCCTGTCCATACAGTGGCTAACCTGATGTGTATAAAAAAATTCCTTCCAGTAGCACCTTAGAGACCAACCAAGTTAGTTATTGGTATGAGCTTTCGTGCGCATGCACACTTCTTCAGATGTTTCGACTATGGCAGACCAACATGGCTACCTACCTGCAAATGATGTGTATAGGAAGCTTGCAAGCCACATACTTCCTCCAACACTGAAAGCTGCACGTTCAATGTGCAGAGTGCTCTGATGGTGTTTCCTGCTTGGCAGGGGGTTGGACTCGATGGCCCTTGTGGTCTCTTCCAACTGTATGATTCTATGATTCTATGATTCAGTGTGATTCTGCTATGGTGTACTTCTTGTGGAAGTGGTCGCACTGAAATTTTTCCCTCCTATAGAATATGTACTTTGATGGATGTGGGCCATTTTTTGAAAATAACTTCTTCTATTCTATTCTATTCTATTCTATTCTATTCTATTCCATTCTATTCTATTCTATTCATTACCCTGCCCATCTGAATCAGCTGCCTTATACCAAGCCATTGGTTCATTTAGCTCAGTATTATCTTCAGTGCCGGATTTACGTATAAGCTAAACAAGCTATAGCTTAGGGCCCCACTCTCTTGAGGCCCCCAAAAAATTTAAAGAAAAAAACCCCTGGATGTACATTTCCAAAATATTGCATAAAAAACAAATAAAATAAAACCTATATACAGCAACAGTGTTTTGTGCTGTGTAGGCTCCTGTGATGTAAGTAATGGGCCCGGCTTGCTAGCCTGATCCCTAAAATATCACTGGTTTGCTCATTTCAATATATTCTGCATGTGCAAGTGGCTTTAGATACCTATTAGGTCCATAAATTACCATATAGCGTATATTCAACACAAAAAACAGCAACAATTTGTTGTTGACAAAGGACAGCTGGACATCTAAAGAGCCCCATGACCTTCAGTAGCTTAGGGCCTCATCAAACCTAAATCCGGCCCTGATTATCTTCATTGGCTGGCAGTTGCTCCCCATAATTTTAGGCCAGGGTGTCCCTGCCCCAGCCCTACCAGGAGGTGCCACAATCTCAGGCTGCATCTACGCCCCCACCCTGTTATACTCGTTTCATTTCTCTACATGTTCTAGGAGACCAGGGTGGAGGGGAGCTGGCTGCAGCAAGAGGGGGAGGCTCCCTGGTTTCAGCTTCTGCTTCTGCCTCAGAGTCTGAACTGTGCTCTGCCATAGCCTCTTCCTGTTCACCAAACCCTGTCACCACTTCTGCTTCTGACACCTCCTCCTCCTCCCGGCCTGCTCCTTCTCCCTGACCATTCTCCTGGCTCTGAGCCTTCTTCCCCTGGGGGTTCCCCAGCTGGTGCCTCTCACTACTCCTCTGCATCCAGCCAGTCCATGACATCCATTTTATGTGCAGACTGTAACTTCCAAAAGACTTTGCTAATGCTGAAGGTCTGGCAGTTTAGCCCACAGGCATGTTTTCCACAAATCAGGTGACTGAGTGTGATTTCCAGTTTCAAAGATTAGATTAAATAGATTTTACCTGTGACAGGATTGATAACAGGTCAGTTTCAAAACACATGGCCTAGAGTTGCTCATGAGCTGCTACATCGTCAACATTTGTTATTCTGTAAATTGCCCACATCAAAAGGTTTTTTTTGGGGAGAGAATTTTATGCTACGTCACCTAGGTCAGCAGATGATGAGTCTTGATTAAGGGCAGTTGTGCAATATTTTGTATAATAGTTTACTCTGAATATAACTAATGCTCAAGGAATGCAAGTCAGGTTTGAGACCATCTGAGGCACATTAACATGGCCAAATTTCAGAAATTTAACAAATTATATTGAAAACTGGTCATTTTTTGGTAATGCATGCTCCCTAATACAAATATGCCAAGAAAGAGAATGAAGCTTTTGGTCCACTAGTCGAGATAAAGTTAAAATACCAGACTAAAAAAGAATGTTTGTAATTGGAGAGCTAATACATTATTAACAAGAGCTTGAGCTCTCTAGACTTCAAGTAGCTTGCATCACACAGGAAAGCTGGAGAGGAATTAAGGAGGCACACACAGACCTCCTATATCCTATAATAATGCTTTCACTGGAGGAGAAAGCAGGGCTCTTATGTGATCATTCCATTTGTGGGTACTGCAACTATGCTTGGAATAGATTGTTCAGTGTTCTTAATTAATTTCCACAATTTGTTATTGGATCCAGGTGACTGATAATTTCTGCGCCACCATGTAAAATTATGTGGATGTTCATTTATTGTCCCGATCAAACACTGAGTTTTCATAATGTTATTGTTTCTTCATCAAGCCTTTAATAAAGAGGGATGAGAAACTTTCTTTCTTTTTTAATGTTGGTAGTATAGAAATATCTGTAAATAAATAAATAGTTTGTATGACCATAGTAATATGAACACATAGCTGGTGAACATATGCAACAGCAGTTTCTGTATTTTTGGATTGCCAATTTAGAACAAAACTGGGACAATTCTTTAAAAATCTTTAAGATGGCCTAAAAGGACTAATGAAAACATAATTAATATTGCACATTATTGTACTTCTTAATTTACTCTTTGATCCAGAAACATAGCACACACCTTCACCACTTCCCCCCCAAAGATATCTCCATATGGGCTAGAAACTTGATTGAACACTGATATTTACATCTGATCTCCATGAAATTGACTTGAATGCTGCTTTGGGGCTGTGGACTAAATGAAATTTTATGAATACGAAGTTTATGTATGTGTAGCAAAAATCAGCTACATACATGTTATCAACTGGATTGTGTTTTCTAATTATCCATAGTCTGTAGCTCCCAAGTTAAAGTATGCTATGTAATAGAGGTGGGGCGTGAACTAACTTGTATATACACCCTGTGCTGTGTGTAATAGTGTTGACTCTCATAATTCATTCAGTATGGCAAATTTTCTTCTCAATTACTGAATTATGTAGCAAATTTGAAATTGTGCTATGCATCTTCTTTGGCATAATGTCAGCTGCTGTGTATGGGTGTTTAAACTTTACTTTTGCCTCTTTGATTTATTTATGCAAGCAAGATTTGTCATGAATTTTAATCCAAGCAAAACGCTGTGACACCCACAATAGCCTGTAAATCTGCTTTGCTGTAGCAGCAGCAGCCCTATGAAAAGAAGTAATGTGGAATAGTTGTAAGCTCTGCCAAGCCAGTTTCTCATCTCAGGCATTGTTGCATAAAATGCATTTTATGTATTGGAAGGAAACATACATCTGGAGTCTTTAGTTATTTTTTAATACAGAACAGTAGGACCTTTGGGAATATTGTGATTTCTAAGTTTTCTGATAGGCATGCTCCCACAGCAGAAGTGCTTTCTTCACAGAGATATACACTGCTACAAGTCTTTATTCATTTATTTATCATGCTGCAATTCCCTAAAAAGAAAAGACTTATTCTATGCAAAAAAATAAAAAAACAACCCCTCACATTGCTCCAATGGATAATCACAGATTCTGTTTAAATAATTGATACATAAAATTACTTTTGCCGACTAGCTCAGTTATAGTCATGTGACAGGGTATATCGTGTTTTAACCAGAGCAATTATTATTCCACAAAAAAAAAAAAAGTACAGAAAGGAGCAGTGAAAGGAGTTGAGTTCAGTGTGTAGGTTTGCGGAAGGAAGCCAACACATTTGTCAAAGCAGTTACACCAACTGAAAACAGCTAAAACAGATAGTCACAGGAATAGGATGGGCCCTCGGGTGTCAAAGGCCAAGGTAAAGAAATGTCGCTGCAGCATCCACCCAAAACAGCAAAACAGTATAGTGAAGGTGCTACACACACTTCTCTGAGGAAATGCCACAATTTAGGCCAGGCTTCCTCAAACTCGGCCCTCCAGATGTTTTTGGCCTACAACTCCCATGATCCCTAGCTAGCAGGACCAGTGGTCAGGGATGATGGGAATTGTAGTCTCAAAAACATCTGGAGGGCCGAGTTTGAGGAAGCCTGGCCTAAATTGTGGCATTTTCTCCTCACAGAAGCAATGCTGATTTAGGCATTGCTATAGAGTATGCCCTCTCCCAGGCCACCCCTACCTGAACTTCTGAGGGAGGTGGAACTACCAAGACTGCTCCCTCCAGTACTCATAACAGCCCGAAGGGTCTGTACAGAGGCCAATGATCTCTCAGGAGCATAAGTTGTAATATAAAGGAAAGTAAGGATTTGTCTATTTCTAGTCTTTGTCAGTTTAACATGTGTTCATGCCCAAGTCCATCCCATGCCACTTCGGCATTAATCTATCCATTTTAAAAATCTACATGGAAGTTCATATCTAAACATTTAAATATGCATCCCCCCACAAGACACACTTTTCTAAATGTATTTTATCCTAAAATGTGCATTTCCCCCCTGTGTATATTTACAGCAGAGAACTGCATCACAAAATCTGAAGAAATGCGAAATCTGAAGGGTGACTGTGCTCCAATTGTCACAAGTCCTCCAGGTGGTGCGGATCAGGTCAGTTCTTGTTGGAATTTGCAAAGACGGAATTCCTCAAGCATGCTGGGTAATGTAATTCAGGTTACAAACGGATGGATTAGTTCACCTTTTGATTTCAAATCGTTAAGAGGTCCCTGTAAAGAAACTATTATGGAACTTAATGGAAGAGGCATAACGTAGACCTTAGGGGCATGGGCTTTAAGGTACATTTTGATAGGAAATGAAGTGCAGCAAATATAATCCATACTGAATGCCAGAAGATGTAAATTTGATTGTGAAGACTTCTGTAACAGTTTTTAGGACCACAGCTCAATGTTTCAGGACGTGTAGGCACATGGTTCAAAGCCCGACCATTGCCAGATCTTTGTTTTTGTTTATATACATAATGGGGTTATCTAGTTATCTTCTAATTGGAAATGCCTCTGTCTGAGATCTTTGAGAGCTTCTGCCAGTCAGAGTAGGCATAACTGACCTGGATGGAGAAATAGTCCAATGTAGTATAAGGCAACTACCTATGTCCTTTCAGGTTAATAGTCCAGTGTTCTGGGAGATAGGAGCGCCCCCTAGCTTGGGGGCACTAGCTTGGGGAAAGGCTGCCCTAGGCCATTATAATTGTGAGCCCTCTTAGTAAGAAAGCAATGCCCCCACCCTATGACTGTAACAGGGTAGAAGAAAGAACATGGCAACAGATTATATATATTTTTAAGGGAGGAGGAGAAAGTGGGCTATTTTAATAATAGAGAACACGATATAATATAAACTGATATTTGAACCTATTATTGCACAAGAGAAAGCACCTGCTTAGGTTATAAGTGCTGCAATGTGTGCAGCAGCAGCAGCAGCTTTTGGCCTGCACCATGTCTTCATCTTCTCCTTTCCCCAGTGAGAGTTATGCAAAACCATGTAACTCGCTGGCATGTAAGTCACAGGCTGCCCTCAGGCTAACTTCTGCACTTCGCTTTTTGTACCATGTTCAAGTTTCGTTCTGCGGGATATGCATATCTTGCAAACAAGATCTCTAATGGGGGCTGCTATGCGTTTGGCTGACGGTGCAGTTTTGCTTCTTGAGCAGCAAACACACATGGTTCTGCTTTTGGAAAGGCAGAGCAGATGAACTGCTTGGGAGGGAAGTTCCCAATCAACTTCTTGATTCACACAACCATATGTTTAGTGGTGGGTATTACCATGAGAGGACTTCTGTTGTCATATAGCCCTTTTGTGGGGGGGGGCACACGTGAGTCTTGTGTATGCTCAAATACATGTCAAGATCAAAGACCTCAGCTCCTGACTCAACCATCATTTTGAAAGTTTTCCCAGACAGTTATAAATAACATGTTTAAAAATATCTAAGCTGTGATTATATATTACTATATGATTGAATCATCTGTCCACTACCATTGTGTTTTTTCTTTGGCATAGTTCAGAGCTGCAAGGTTTCACATGTGAAGGTAATTGTTTTCCTGTCTGCTGTAATCCTGCATTGCAGGGGTTTGGACTTGGTGGCCCTTGAGGTCCCTTCTGACTACAGATCTATAATTATATGATACTTTTGTCAAGAGCTGCTGGAATTTCTGTATGGCTGGTGGAGATGAATCAGCGGACAGTGGGGAGGTTCAAAAAAGTATCTACATGGTGCCTAGAGAATCTTGCATCTAAATATTAGCAAGACAAAGGAAATGGTGTTGGACTTTCAGAGGAAGAGAGGGGAACTAGCCTCGTTGTATATCGGGGGGAGGGTTGTGTGGAGAGAGTATCTTCCTTTAAATTCCTGGGAGTTTACCTTAGTGAAGACCTCACTTGGAAAAACAATATAACTTAGGTGGTTAGGAAGGCCCAACAGAGACTCCATTTCCTCAGGGTCTTGCGAAAGAACAATGTTAAACAACAATTGATGACCTCCTTCTACCTCCTTCTCAATAGAAAGTGTCCTCTCGTATTGTATCACAGTGTGGTAGGTTGGCTTGACAGCCACAGACAGAAAGTCTTTACAGAGGGTAGTGAACACAGCACATGATATCATGGGCTGTCCCCTGAGCCCGCTAGATGACATCGCAAGGGATCCTTGCCTTAGGAGAGCGAGAAAAATTCTCAGGGACGATTCACACCCTAGCCAGCACCTCTTTAATCTTCTACCCTCGGGTAGGAGATATAGAAGTATAATCAGCCCTACCAACAGGCTAAAAAACAGTTTCTATCCGTGGGCTGTTCGGCTGCTAAATGGAAAATAATATAGTGCAACTGACTTTTGGGGTTGGTGTGTTGTGCGACAAGCACACAGAGTGCAATGAGACTAAGTGTTTGTGGGTGGGGGAGGGAGGCTCAGTTAATTTCATTATACACAGGTTGTACATTGACAATAAAGGTATTATTATTATTATTATTATTATTATTATTATTATTATGGCTGCTTTTTGTGGTGAACCGCTGAAGGTAGCATTCTCTCAATGAAGACCTTCTGGATTGACTCCGCCTACATGGCTTGCCATCAGATCATCTGGGCAGCAAGGAGTATTCACAGCTTTCTTTTCCTCCTGAACCATTTCCACTGAAAGTCTTCCTGAGCTCTGGTGTGTCGCTGTGTTCTTGGTTGGTCTCTGCTCCTGCCTTGGTCTTTGGTTCTGATCACTGACTGCATCATGTTCCCTGGCTCCTGGCTCATCTCTGCCTGCTGCCCAGAACACAAGCCCTGGCAGTTGTTTGGCAATTTGCTGTGCTTTTCTATTTGTTCATCATTGTCTAGTAACAGCAGGAGGAGAGGCAGCAGACTTGTTGGGAACAACACCTGGCACCTCCTCCTAAAAAGCAGCTGTTGCTGCCTGCACTATTTGAGAGAGATATAGAACTGTGCTGAAGGTCCCAATAATTCTTAGCAAGCTGGATTCAGAAGATGGGGGGGGGGAGCCTATTCAGGCTCACCTCCCCAGCAGAGACTTGAGAAGCCATGCTCACCTGTCCTTTTATGCCACATGAAGACAGGCTGCAGCTGGTGCAGAATGTGGCTGCTAGATTGGTAAATCAGGTCCTCCCTTAATGAGGGCACGTATTGCAGTGAGACCTGGACAACCAGCACCCTGTGTTGTGGACAGTGGCGTAGTGTGGGGGGTGCAGGGGGGCCCGGCCGCACCGGGTGCAACATCTGGGGGGGGCGCTCGCACTCGCAGCTCTCTGCCCCTATTGCCCTGCCTGGTTACTCACATTGTTGATTGATGTTCTGTTGGTCTAAAGGATTGGCTGTTTTTTTTTTGGGGGGGTGGCAATTGCCCACCAGTGGCGTAGTGTGGGGGGTGCAGGGGGGGGCCGGCCGCACCGTGCGCAACATCTGGGGGGGCGCTCGCACTCGCAGCTCTCTGCCCCTACCTGGCTCACTCACTCTCTCTCACTGCAGTGCTGGCTGTGCGAATCCGATCCGAGCCGCTGGGTCGCCGCCTACTGTGGAGGGGGGTGGGTGCCAGGCGTGCGGTGCGGAGAGAGAGCGAGGGACTATCTGGGGGAGGGACAGTGCAGCGGCCGCCCAGCGCAGCGCTGAGCGCGGGAGAGAACCACACCAGACCAGACCAGGCAGCAGCAAGAAGAAGCTGGCAGCGGCGGCAGGTTAGGGGTTGGGGGCGCAAATTACTTGCCTTGCCCCAGGTAAGGGGGGGCAAATTACTTGCCTTGCCCTGGGTTAGGGGGCGCAAATTACTTGCCTTGCCCCGGGTGCTGACAACCCACGCTACGCCGCTCGTTGTGGATGGATACAATTGGTCAGCCACAACACCCGATTGGTAGGTCCCTCAAAGCTGGGTGCAATCTGGCCAATGGGACGCAGTCCAAATGGTTCGAGGGAACTATTTATGCCCATGCACGTGACCCAGAGCTTCCTCTTTCAGTGCATGCATTCAGAACACCCACCCACCTCTCTCTACTTTTAGGGCTTGCTCTTGACCTTGCTATGCTGTCGTGTGTCGTCTGTCGTTGGGACAGGGGGATGGCAGGAATTTTCCCCACTTGGCTGATTGGCTGTTGCCATTTGGGTTTCACCTGCCACGTAGCAAATTGTCACAACTTGTAAGGTTGTGGATAGGCTCTGGTTCAGGTGATAGGGATGGGAGAACACTCTCGCCATCCCTATGTGAAGGGTATTCCGTTAAAGGAATCCAGGGACTCAATGGTTTGGTCAACCCCTGAGAGGGGGTTGTGCCCATGCCTGAGTCCAGGGGGACATTTGGGTGGCGGAGTTAGCCCGTTCCCGGCTTTCTGCTTATCCAGGTGTTCACCCTTGGCTGACCTATGCTGGAACCCTGTGTCAGCGCTACCTCCATGCAGGGAGCTAGTCAAACCAGACCCTATGCAACCAGTCACTTTTTTGTATAAATAAAGTTGTGGCCTAAATTCTGCCAAAAACCAAACCAAAATTTTAGCCATGTGTGAATTTATTTAGGGGGAGGGGGTTTCTGGGTCTGAACAAGCAATGGGGCAGCCTGGTGGGACCCAGTGTCTCCAAAGCCATAATGGCTGCCATTGAGATACCAGGCACTGTTCAAGGTGTTAGTATTACCATTGAGATACCATAACATCTTGACCAATAGCAACCACCTCGGCCCCTACAATTGGCAGGGGAGGCCCTGTTGGTGATGCCGCTGATGAGTTCTGCCCAGTTGCTTTCATTGGATCACCCTGAGTTCTAGTATTTCTCCATATCATCAATAATATAATGCAACTCTATCCTGCCCCTCACCTCTTTACCCTCATTTTTTCCTAAACCAAAAAGCCCCAAATATAACCTTTCCACATAAGGGTGGTGCTCCACCCCTTTGGTTTTTTGGTTGTTCTTTTCTGATGCTTTTCCAGCTCCTTTTTGGGGACAGGCCATTCTTGTCACCTGTTGCCCTTTTCCAATTAATTATTTACATTTTCTCCCTGTTCGTGGATCATTTTATTAGCTTTCAGGGTTCTTCATTTTGGTGTTTTAGGGAAATCTGTATTTCTTTCATACTCCTTTTCTTCTTCCCTCTCTCCCCAATGTTGTCTTCATTTTACACTCATTTATGTTTGCTTTCTATACTTGGTATTTGTACAGTACTTACTTTTCATGACCTCTTTGTTTCTGCAGCTGCTGGTGGGTTTATTTTAGGAGGTGAGGGAATGGGCTGCTGGCTTTTACTCTGGCTTATCAACCCAAAAGGCACAAAGGGAGAGTAAAGCAAATCTCTAAAAAGGCAGGAATCCATTCACAGAACCCTGTCCAATTTTTTGCTGTAAATAATTTATTTTTATTATTCTTTAATGAGAGAGAGAGAGAGAGAGCCAGGCCAGTTTCATTATTCAGAAGTGGTAGTGCCTGAAATGTTAAGGTTGTGTCAGAAATATAATGGAAGATGAAATACATGACCAGTCTTAATAACTTTTTTGTGGGGTACATTTCTGGAGCTTTGCAATGTCCTGAGTGGTTTCAATTTTAAAATGTATGTAGGGGAGTTTTTGGAAGATAAATAAACAAGCAAACAAGAAAGAAAGATGTGCTGATATATATTTTTAGAACAGTCACAGCCACCCCCAACCAACTTCTGGGGTCAATTACAAGTTGTATTAGCATTATCTTGGGCTTTTACGGCAGGAAAGTGTCCCTGAACATATGCAGAACATATTTCCCACCTTCCTGAGTAACTGAGCAGTCCCTCTTCAACACATTATAGGGTCCCAGTCTATAAAAGCAAAGGGCAATGTCTAGAGCTGGGCCAACGTTTTCATCCCACACTTTTCCAGCAATTTCACGGACAGAGGGAAAAGGTCAAGTGAAGATAGTCTATAGTTTCTGTAGGGGCAGGAGAGGTTACTATTGTAAGATGAGATGACAGAGCTTTGCACTTATTTCTCTTTCTTTTACTACCTGAAAAATTGCTGAAAATACCCCCTCTTTAAGGGGGACTAATGGCTCTGTGTAAATTGGCAGAGAGAGATTTGAGTTAGAAGCATAGAAATGTAGAGTTGGAAGTCATCACCTTACATCCTTGCATTGCAGCTTTGAGATGAATAATCCAGTTTTTTTATTTTTAACTAGGACTATTTATTTCTTAACTATACATCTAAATGGCTGTTTAAGTGGTAAATAATACAGCTTTTTTTTAAAAAAAAATGGAACAGATGAGGTCAATAGCATTAGTAGAGTGCCTTTATTTCACTGCCGCATGAATATCAACTGAGCATGCTCAGCCCCCCTTCCCTCTCTTTAGAAGTTAACACAACTTAAGGTACTAGAAAGGAGGAACTTGGGAAGTGTAGGGATGCCAAGAAAGAGGGAACTTAGCCCAGGGCTAAAGTAACTGCTTTGAATGCTGAAGGTCCCAACTTCAACCTTCACCATCTCTCCTTCAGAAAGAAGGAGCAAGTGATGGGAAACTTTGCCCGAGACTCTAGAGAGTCTCAGTCAGTCAAAGTAGACAAGACTGGGCTAGACAGATGGATGATTATGGCCTGGAATAAGGCAGCTTCCCATAGGCTGTCCCAGAGACCTCTGAATCCCCAGGGCAACCTGTCCTTTCCAACAGAGAGGAAGACCTGCTCTTGCACTGCGTTTAGTCATGTCAACCTTGGAATGCCCAGCTTTCAGCCCAACAGGCATTGCTCTCTGTGTGCAATGAGATGGCACATAACCCCCAGAGACATATTGTAGAGGCCTCACAGGAAACCTCTGATCTTACCAATGGACCAGCACCTACAAGAAAGAATCTCCTGTAGCCTTTTTGAGCATTGGGTAGGGTGGTTGTGGTTGTGGACTGTCTCCAACCCAGCTGTGTTGAGAGAATAGCAGCTTATACAGGGAGAATCTGGGCTCTATAATTTCAAGAATTTGGCTGCTCTTCGGCTAATTCATAGAATATTATTATTTATTAAATTTTTGCACCACCCTTTATCCAAAGCTCACAGGGTGGTTCATAGAACAGCTTTTGGGATGGGGCATAAAAAAATTGGATCATATAAAAATAGTTAAGCAGTGAACATCTTGGCCAAATTGATCTATACACCTATACACAGCACTAGCACTCCCCACCAACAAAAGAAGATTTGCAGTCATGTGTTTAATCATCATCATCATCTAGGATGCTGCCTTCTACTGAGTCAGGTCCTTGGTTCATCTCGCTCAGCACTGTCAATACTGACTGGTAGTGGCTCTACAGGAGACATTCCCAGGCCTGCCTGGACTGAAGCTAGGACCTCTTGCATGCAAAGTAGATGCCCTAAGACCGAGCTACAGCTCTTGCCTAAACCAAGCTTGCTTGGGTATTTTTTAAATTTAAAGTCTTTACATCCCACTCTGCAAACTTCCTGGGGCAGGGAGCTAATTTCCATAAAGCACCAAGAACATTGATGGCAGCAAACATATGCATGTCCTTCTTAATTGCACATGTATTTTATATCATTTCCTTGCCACAAGATTTGTTCATTTATGGGATTCCTTACCCGCCCTTCACCAAAAAGGTGGGCTATTACAATGCAGGTTACAACAATATAACATTGTAAACAGTTAAGGCAATTTACATCAGAGTATTAAAATCAGTTAATATTTATAATATGTCTTATATAAAGTAGTCCTAAGACACAGCATCATTCCGTTCAGTGAATCAAGAGTATTCTGCTATTTAAAGAAGCCAACAAATAGTTTCCAATGAATCATTGTGTTTTCATGGCATCTGATGCTTCATTAGCACATCTGAATTGTTCTAACTCTCTCTTGATATCCTGGATATAAATGTTTAGGATTGTGTAGGGACTAGGGGAAATAATTAGCCAAGGCACAAATTACAGTTAGGGTACCTTACGACAATTGACATTCAAAGTACTGAGGCAGCTATTTGCCATTTGTGATTTGGGGAATCTCAGCTTTGTGTCCATTATAGTTAAACAAAGCCTAATTTTATAGCTGTGTATGCTATAAAATTGGATCAAAATGGATCTGGGTTAATTCTATTCGGCGGAATTTGGTGTTCTCTCACTTAGGATAAATGGTTAGTATTGGAGATATGGAGTCGTGATAGCAATATGCCATAAAATCCAGATTGTGGATAGACCAAAAAGTGTTCACAAAAAATAAAACCTGGATGAAACCACTCAATGAAATTGTTTATAATTACTTGTCCCATCCATATACACAGATATTGTATAGGCTCACATCCTTCCTTGCACTTACATAAGTTTAGCTCTGTTGGTTTAGCTAATCAGATGCCTCTCTCACTGTTATTTCCAGCAACTGGTATTCAGATACATGCTGTGTCTGATTCTGAATGGAATATATAGTCATAATGGCTAGCAACCTGCATGAATTTGTCTTTTTGTCCCTTCAAAGCTATTTAAATAAAGTCACTAGTCCTGAAAGTGCTGCATTTTTATTTATTTATTTGAAAGTATTTAAATATTGTCTGATATTTTAAAAAATCTCTAAGCAGTGTCAGTGAGTTACTGGGTCTAATTTAAGGTGTTAGACTGGAAAGTAGCCAATGTAACACCAATTTTTAAAAAGAGGTCAAGGGGAAATCCCGGAAATTACCGTCTAATTAGCTGAGAAACTCTGTCCTGGGAAAACTAGTGGAAAGTATTGTTTAAGAGAAAATAACCAAGCATATAGAAGAACAAGTCTTGCTGAAGCAGAGCCAGCACAGCTTCTGGAAGGGCAAGTCCTGTCTCACCAACCTATGAGAGTTCTTTGAGAGTGTGAACAACTATATAGACAGACGTGACCTGGTGGACATAGTGTACTTTGACTTTCCAAAAGCTCTTGACTCAAGGCCTTTTTGCACCATTTAAAGTTGCATAGTTGCAACTTTTAAAATATGTTTTGGACAGGTTATCACAAGACATCATTCAGCTGTTATGATAAAGTTCTCAAAAACCAACTTTTCCCTACACCGCTTTGAAAAAGACTTTTGGGAAAGATTCCGGCTGGATCCTCAGTAATTTCCATTGTGTGGAATACATGCAGGCACCATCCTGCTTTCTGTGTTGGGGTTGTTGGGGGTGGTTTTGGAGACATCAGTTTTCTGCCACTTCCCTCTGACTGGTGCATACTGTCAATTTGTGAGCTTAGTTCAGAGGACAGGTTGGGCAGATGGAAGTGTCAAAGTACTGCCCATGACAGCAATCATTAGCTGCATATAAAATTTCATGACAAGAACAAGGTTGTTGATGTTGGCTATTGCTCAGGGAGTCACAAAGTTCCTCATCTAATCTCCTATACTCCCAACAAGATCAGTATTCTGGAATACTAGGCATTAAAAAGTTTTAAGCCAAAAAAGGGGGCATTCCCTTGCACATGTTTATAACTCTGACATTTACTTGCTGGAGGAACATGAGGGTACATTAGGAGTGTGACTACAATCGTGGAACTTTTCTCAGTTCAGGGAAAATCTACACTCATTCAAAATAGCGACATGTGAGTAAAGAAAATAAAGAAGAGGAAAAGTTGGTGTCCATCACCATATTTCGCATGGCAGTGGGTTCCACAGATGGACGATGTACTGTGTGAAGCTCTCACTTTTGACTGTCCTGAATCTCCCACCATTGTCCTGCCCCTCCGCTGGTCCCCTCACTACACATAGAAATGAATGGCTGAAACCAGGAAATCTCCTCTAAACCAGTATTATTGAAGAGAAGATTAAAAATAGCTGAAGTCTTGAACTTAGAGGCCAACGTGTATACGGGTGCAACCTCAGAAGCTGAGCAAATATATGACTGACAGAAGGTTCGTCTGAGTTTGGTGGCGCTTACTCCCAAGTAAGTTTGCATAGGACTGTAGCCCTTTTCTTTTCTCATTCACACAGCGAGATAATTGACTCAGACAAGGATAGTGTGTAGCATAAATGAAAACTGTATGTATACCCAGCCGTCTCGACTGACGTAAGCATAGCTCTTGCCCGGTGAATGGCTAGCATTTTTGTCATAATGAGGTGCCAGCCACTGCACAAGTCACAACTCGCAAAACTAAGCCGACTTATTTATTTTATTAAGTTACAATGAGTAGATGATATGAGCCAAGGAAACAGTCCTGGCTAACACATACCAAATAAATTCAAATTAGAAACAGGCTCCTGAAAGCTAACAGTTTTTTCTTTGCCTCAGAAAGTTCAACACATGAAAATGATCGAAAAACTCAAGGCCTGCAGTTCAATAAGAAAGCACAAGCTTGGATAACAAGATGCCCTTAACTGTGCTACAGTGGTAAAACAATGTTCATAAATGTGATGAATTGATCTGAGTTAGATAATAAGGATCTCGCCTTCCTCCATATGATAAACCCTCAGATTTAGAGAAAATGTCGGGAAAGCTTTGTTGGTGTCTTTTGTTCTGAAATGATGAACTTTTGGTCATATTATACTTACACAGTTTTCATTGTAGCTATCTTATTTTTAATTGTGTATATCAGTACAAAGAAGATACAGCGAGATTTCAAAAGGCCTCATTGTTTGATACCTGTAACCAAACTGGGACCTATTTCACACATAGTAGTTTTCCTACATGGAGGTAGGAAAACAAGTATACACCAAGGCACCACAAGACACAACTGATCTACAGCATGAGAAGCTTGTTTGCCAATTACAACTTCCCAACCTATGCAGATGGACTAAAATATATGCATTCATGATTTGTGCACATAGTAATGTACATGAGCGTTCATGAGCTTTTTCTCTTCCTTTGTCATGGACTGGTAGGACGCAGAGGAACGTTGGGAGGAACCAGCTGGGGAACCACCAAGGGAAGAAGGCTCAGAGCTGCAGGGACAGGGAAGGTGATGGGTGGTCAGAGACAGGAGAAGACTGGCAGGAGGAAGTGTCAGAAGCTGAGGAGGTGACAAGGCTTGGTGAGAAGGGTGGTTCTGTGGCAGAGAGAAGTCCAGAATCAGAAGCTGAAGCTGGTGAGTGGGAAGGAGGTCACGAGGCAGAAATGAGTTGGGCTAATGAAGAGTCATGGGTGTAGCTCCCTCCTGCTGCAACATGCTCAACTTCCCCGTCTCTCAGAACAAGGAGAGGCATGAAAAGGGGGAAGGAGAGATTGGCTGCCCAGAGGGAAAAAGCCTTGGAGAGGAGGAAACATAGACAGCTGTGGGGAGCCTTTCAGCCTCAGCAACTGATGGAGTAAGACCCACCAGGAATGAGATGCTGAGCTCATTAGGCCTGATGCTCAGCCAAGTCTGTGAAGATTGTGTTTTTGCTAGTAAAGAGTGAACTCCAACTTTGGTCTGTGTGATTGCTGACCAGCATGCTCTGTGACATCCTAAGGGTTTACCCCCTTGCACACTTGCATTGTGTTGAACGACCCAATGCAAGAAAATGGAGTTCACATATTGTAAAGAGATCATAAAATAAGTTTGCAGTGTCTCAGAAATCTAGGGTTGTCATATATCCCAGTTGTTGTTGTTTTTAGTCAAAGTTGTTGAGCCCCCCCCCCCTAGGTTTTTGGGCTTCTCTTGGATTTTTAAAGCTTTATTTTATTTTAAAAATCACCCTGCTTGGCATATGTCCAGGTTTTCCCAGCCATTTTGCTGATTCAGCAAAAATCCACCCAGACACCATTTTTGTAGCCTGATTCCTGGATGTGTCCGGGGAAACCTTTATTTATGGCAGCCCTACACAAATCAGATGTCAGTATCAGTTTATCAGTGAGAGTCTGTGAGACTCCAGTCCCAGCTATAGAGTTTTGTACAAATGGAAATCAGCAATCAATATCAAATGTCAGAACAGCATTCAGATGAAGTACTTAGCTACATAAATGATTTATGTCTGTTTCCCAGTGTATGTACAACATTCACTGTCCTTGGTTTTTTAAAAAAAGTAACAATATGTTTTAGCGAAGGCAAGCAAGATGGTTTGAGCATATACAGTAACGCTAATCCTAGCCTGACGGCACTGGCTGCCAACTAGTTTTCAGGCCCAATTAAACAATCTGTTGCCTTTTAAACAGAGTGTGTTTGTGTTTGTTACTTACTATGTTATGTGTTTTGTGTTTTTATATTAGAAATTACCTTGCAATCCTCAGATGAAGGGAGGTATACAAATTCAATAAATAAAATACATTCTTAACTTATGGGGGGGGGAAACAACCACACTTTTCCAGCTAAGATATCTTAACAACAGAATTCAAATAACAAAAAATGCTCCAGGACTAATGAAATAACTAGATTTAACATGCCCACAACCCAAGCAGACATCTAACGCATTGCTTTAACTGTGTGATTATTTAATGCATTATTATTTCTCAGATGGCCCCTACAGTCATGCTGTTTATACAAATGTTCGCTGGCAACTTTGCACTCAGTATATATAATTTTACTGTTTGAACTTAAAAGTCACAAGGCTGAAATAAAAAGGCATGGGTGGCGCCTTGCCATACTGCCCCTGGAGAACAAGAGGCCGACAGCTCATGATTCGGTGCCAACAGGTTGCTGGGAACTCGACTAAACGGAGCAGCAATAAGTCTACACAGTGGAGCTTTGCTGAAAGATGTGATCACACCTCCTAATGTGACTCCATGGCTCTGTTACTTACAGCTAAATTACATTATTATGACTTCATTGTTGAATCCCAATTCTCCTAATTATAGCCTAGAGATCTATTATTTGATTTTGTAACACCAAGTGCTTCTTTTCTAAATCATGTAATCTCTTGTAGCTTATTAATGTCAGGTTTGCGCACACACAGGGACTTGGTTGTTTGCCAGGCAGAATCAAATTTTCAAATTTTCACTGTGTTATGTTGTGAGGATTTGCTTGTTACAATCTAATTATATTGGCACTGAAAGCAAAATTATATTATAAAGCACTTTAACTCTTTCACGGGAACAGATTTGCATATGTTAAGTGTCCTCATTGCCATTGGTTTATTAGCCTTTTCATCAGAAAATATCTCTTGGAATTGTATGCCGAAGATAAGAATTTCTGTGGTGTTACCACTTTATCTTCACTGGAATGTGGCTTTCAGTTCATTAAAATATTCTCTCAAAATATGGGATGTGAAACTACCATATAGTAATATGAACATTTAGGAGTCCTGTGGCACCATTAATATTAGGTTTTTTTTATTGTGGCATTAACTTTCATGGGCAGAAGCCCACTTTCTCAGGAAAAAAAAACAGCAGTGTTGTTTGCATCAGTTACCTTGTTCGTTCATACTTGTAGGATTCCTAGCCATGGATTTCATGTGAACGGCAGTACAGTGGTACCTTGGGTTACATACGCTTCAGGTTACATACGCTTCAGGTTACAGACTCCACTAATCCAGAAATAGTGCTTCAGGTTAAGAACTTTGCTTCAGGATGAGAATAGAAATTGTGCTCCGGCGGTCCAGCGGCAGCAGGAGGCCCCATTAGCTAAAGTGGTGCTTCAGGTTAAGAACAGTTTCAGGTTAAGAACGGACCTCCGGAACAAATTAAGTACTTAACCCGAGGTACCACTGTATCTGCAGTCCTTAAATCATATAGTCAGGAATACAGTGCCATTTATATAAAAGAAGCTAATATAGATAGTTGCTTACATCAGACAAAAGTTGGCAATCATTCATTCATGTTAGCTGACACAGTACATATTTCTCTATCCCTGCAGTGAACTTGTTCTAGAGAAAAGAAGCCTATGCAGACTTTGTAGTCCAGAGGATGCTCCTTGAGCTACGGTACATTAACCTGAATGACACAATCTGCTCTTACAGATAAAAGAATCAAAAGATGCACTGTGCAGTGTGGTTCTCTGTGAGTCATGGTGTCGGAGGCAAATAATGCACCAACCCTGCAGAAGCTGAGCAGGTCTTGGTTTGGTGTGGGAGACTGCTTGGGAACCCTATAGAATATACATTGGCTGGATGTAGATATAATGAGTAATGCTTAAGTCAGTACTCAAGACACAATGTCAGATTTAACTAACTTGATCACTGATATTGAGAAATTGTTATGGGACTATCAATGTTCTTTATTGTCTACATTCTGAAAGTGACTAGAACCACAAATGTCAAGAACCTCATATTTTGTGCTTTACACAAACATATAGAATTTACTTATACAATTTCTTGGTTTTATTATTATGGGTCAAATGAAACCACTACCTAAGGCTGTGACAAATGTTCTTGACCAGTACTTTTGGTATATAGGGGAATTTGGGGGAGGGGGGGCTTGCTCTCTCTGCTATAGATGTCCTCTGTGAGGGCATTCTTGTGTCCTCCATGGCAATCATCCCATATTAATTTACATTTAAAATCCTTCATCAGTTCAGATCCCGGAGTAGTTTACAACAGCATTCTGCCCATCTGCAATTCTCAGGGGAGGGAGGGAGGGGGAGAGAGAGAGAGAGAGAGAGAGAGAGAGAGAGAGAGAGAGAGAGATCTAAGGTCTCCTCCCACTGATCTTCATTGCTCACTGCAGATTTGAACCTGCCAACGTGTAACCAACCACTATGCCACAATGGCTTCCAAACCATATACTGCACAACTGTATGGGTTTCACTCACAGAGAAGTGTCCATTTTTCATAGGAATAAACCAAGGTCTGGGGAGATTGCATTATTCAGCCAAGAGCTTGTGGCAGGCCCAAGCCCTTAGGTTTAACTGAAAAGCTGACCTTGTTACCTAATTATAATATATTTCACTTTCCTATTATTAGTCTGCAGTGTCTGAAAACGATGCTGTTTCAGCTGGATTTAATGTTATGCGTGTTCCAGTTATATATACTTTTTTCTGGGAAAATATTTAATACAAAATCAATTACTAATAAAAGGGAATTTGAACCCAAAGGAGACTCCCCCCAGAAAACCAATTTTCAGTGGCAATGTGACCCATTAATGAGCTCTGCTCTGTGCTGCCATTGTGCTGAGTGCCTCCTAATGAAATACAGCAGGTTAATGGTTGTGGTACAGTGGACTTAAATATGAACCACAGCAGGTGTGTATCTTAATGAGGTGTTAATAGTGCGGCAGGTGCATGTAAATAAGGAACACTGAGGGTAGTAATGGGTAAGTCAAGAGGGCCAAGTACCGAAAACATTGAAAGCTGGAACACACATAATGGCTCGTTTACGCTCTGATTGTTTGCAATGCAATGTTTGCTCCCCAGCAAGTGAATCTGGAAAAGTATTTTAAATGATCACATTGTCCTCACAGAGTTCTATTTAGAAGATATTTCAAGGCATTTGTGGCAATGTCTAGTGCATTGAGGCTGGGCAGAAAACTCCAGCTTTTACTCATTCCATTCTGCCACTTTTTTTGTTTCTTGGGATGGGCAAAAATGCCCATTTCAGTTACTCCGTGTTTTTCATTTTTTTAAATCTTCACTTCTCCACATTTCTAAATCTGCTTCCTTGAGGGAAAAAAGTTCTCATGAAAATTCATCAGCATTTTAGTGTGAATTTCTCCTAATTTACACATTTTTGCATGCAGTTTTTCCTAAAATACACATTTTTGTATCTTCCCCTGATATAATGTATTTTTGCATGTCACTTTCACTAATATATGCATTTTTACGCACACTTTAATCTAATAACTGTTGTGCACATTACCTGACTGGAGATTTGTCTTATAAAATTTGGAGAAGTGCAAATTTCAAAAGATATCTGTGCTTCGGGTTACATACCGGTTCAGAAAGTATGCAACTGGTAAGTTAGCCTTTAGATGCAAACTGAATTGAATTTCTGCTCCATCCCTGATCACCACTTCAAAAGCTTTTCAGTGATGTTATTCCTAACAAATTAAATGTCCTCTTCTTAGCTCTGTTTCTCCTTTACTTGTCTGCTGCTTGTAGCACCAACCTCACTGCTCACAATATCTTTCTACCACCTTGGCAGAAAGGAAAGCATTCCTTCCTTCTTCTGTTTTATCTTTCCAATATTTTCTCTTACAAAAATCATGCCACTAGCCCAGAAAAACTCATTCTGCTTGATACAATATCCTCAGGTAAGATAGAAAAAATTGCTCAGTGGCAGAGCAGCTACTTTCAATGTGAAAGGTCCCTGGTTCAGTTCCTGGAACCTCAAGGCAAGGCAGAGAGAGGCCGCAGCCTAAAACCCTGGTGAGTCACTGTCTATCATTGTTGATAATACTGGGCTAGATGGTCAGCTTTCTGAGTTTCTATGTTCTTTTTGCTCATATTTCCTGCTGGGAAGATCTCCAGCATCTCACGTTAAATATGATGAAAAGCAGAGCTCCTGATCTCTTCCCCAGCACCATACCCCAGCTCTCTTTCCTTACAGCTAGAAAGGCACTGTTTTAGTGTATTTTAAGAAGTTTACATTTTGTACTCTGTTGCATAGGAGTCAACTCCCAGGGGCTGTGGGGGCTTCGGCAATAATAATAATAATAATAATAATAATAATAATAAATTATTATTTATACCCGGGTTTCCCCACCCACTCTGGGTGGCTTCCAACAAAACACTAAAATACAAAAATATTAAAAGCTTCCCTAAACAGGGCTGCCTTTAGATGTCTTCTAAAAGTTTGGTAGTTATTTTTCTCTTTGACATCGGTGGGAGGGTGTTCCACAGGGCGGGTGTCACTACCGAGAAGGCCCTCTGCCTGGTTCCCTGTAACTTGTCTTCTCGCAGTGAGGGAACCGCCAGAAGGCCCTTGGCGCTGGACCTCAGTGTCCGGGCAGAACGATGGAGGTGGAGACGCTCCTTCAGGTATACTGAACCAAGGCCATTTAGGGCTTTAAAGGTCAGCACCAACACTTTGAATTGTGCTCGGAAATGTACTGGAAGCCAGTGTAGGTCTTTCAAGACCGGTGTTATATGGTCTCAGTGGCCGCTCCCAGCCACCAGTCTAGCTGCCACATTCTGGATTAGTTGTAGTTTCCGGGTCACCTTCAAAGGTAGCCCCACATAGAGCGCATTGCAGTAGTCTAAGCGAGAGATAACCAGAGCATGTACCACTCGACAGCTCGCCCCCCCCCCAAAGATGACGAGCATTCCCATTCAAATGGTTTTGTGCGCACTGTGTCATGTGATCGATTATGCAGGGGAAGGGCTTTCCTGGGCCCCCACAATATTTTATTCAAGTTGGCACCCCTGCTCTGTTGTAAAAGAGCATGGAGTACAATAGAACAGGATTGTAGAAGTATAACAGCTCATTGAGAATCTCAAAAACAAAATATGGAAGCTGCCACCACCACTGCTAAAGGAAACAATAACAAAGAGTAGGCCTAGCCCCTTCAATAATGAACAGTGGGCCTAGCCCCTATTTGAAGGCCTGAATTTACTCCTTCTTTACTCCCTCACAACAGTCACCAAAATAATAATGTTAGAAGTTTTCATATCAGCCTAAGTCTGCCCCTGGCTGGCAGTGGTATGGCTTGGTAGAGCCATGCAGCCACTACTGCAACCACAGACCCATTGCTTGCACAGGCCAGGGAGGAAGGTGGGAAGCAATAAGGATGAGGATGCCCCTTTACTGTGCCAGATCCCAGACTGACATAGTAAAGAGGCCTGGACTGCCCCTGTTGCTATCAGAACCACCCCTCACAATGCCCCATTGTGGGTGAGGGAGGTTTCCTCTGGCTATACCATTGGCAGGGACACTGCTGGCAGTAGCTTCCTACCTGCTGCTTGCATGGGCACTTTGGGGTGCTCCTTGCTTGTGGGTCTTTCCCACCAATAAGAAAGCTCCTCCACCAGTGAGGGATGATGGACGGACACTTTAACTCCACCTAAATCCCTTCTGTTGAAGAGCATCTGTGCCTTGGATCGCTCTGGAAAACAGTTTCTCTTCGAAAGCCTGGTCTAAATCCAGATTAATAGATCTAGATCAGAAGAGGGCAGACTTCAGACTTGTTTTTGTACTTTGCATCTGTGTGCAACGTTTATTCTTCACTAAAACTTCAGCCAGAGCCAGATGCAAAATAGAAATAAGGAACATTCAGAGCCTAGGAATTTGTTTTCACTACCAGAGCAGGACACAAACCTTTCATACAAAAAGAAACTCTTGGTGGGTTTTCTTCATTTTAGCAACTGAAATTAGGCGGGAAAAGCAGTTTTGTTTGTTGCTATCGTTAAACAATTGGGTGTCAGAAACATTTACTGATTTACTGCGGATCAGCCCAAGGTCTACCAGTAGTTTCCGGTCTGTCTACCTTCTGCTCACCCCTCAACTAGAATGTGGTTGTTGCTTTAAAGAGTAATTACAGACATTTCACTTCATAAGATTTCAGTATTTATAACTTTTCCACCTATTGAACTGCTCCATTTATATGGAACAAGAGAAATTATAGATCCAAGCCTTGGGTGAAAAGTAGAAAAGAAACCTTGCGTTGAGAAGCCAGGGTCGGGGAGAAAACATATGTTAGTCTTGTGAGGTGTTCATTTCTGTTCAATTTGTGAGTGAAGCTGACAGGCACTTTAGACAACTTACCATGACACCGGGTGCCATAAACGTGACGCAGAGATCCATAAATGTGACAGAGTGTTTCTAAAAGAACCACCGACATTTAAAGCATCATTCTCATTCTCCAAAAGTGGAATATTTACTGTAAGTGCAGATTGTTGAGTTCTGGTGGGTAATCTGCTACCTGCACTGCTGTAATGTGTTTGTGAATACTCATAACAAGTATGCAAATTATCAGCCTCCATGACTTGACTGTGCTGCAAACCAGAGCTGACAGCACAATAGAATACAATAAAAGGAAGTGTCAGCATTGCACTCTGAATGCTGGAACATAGAGAAACAAACACCATGAGTGCAAACCAAAATAAATATATGTAATTGACAAGTGTACAGTATCACGTATAGCTCCTTGCAGTACCCTGTTTATTATAGGAGCCAGCCAAGTATAGAGGCATGCCCCCAGCACCCAAACAATTTAAAAAGAAGATGGGAATTGGCAGGTGTACATTCCCCTCCCCCCATATATATATATATATATATATATATATATATTAGCAAAACATAATCAGAAAGCTAAGTTAAATTCTTGCACAAAAAATAATAATAATGATTGTTAAGAGATAATTGGGGCAGAAAAGTTGGATTTCTCAAGGCAGACATCACTCTTACAGGATTGGGACCGCCATCCATAATCCAATATGATACTTCAAATTATGGACAGAATAAGAGAAGACGAGGAAAGAGGGATATTGATCTTCTTTCCCCCCTCTTCCTTCAGCTTACAGGATTTTTCCTCTGTACCCCATTATGCCTCAACAATCAGGAAAAAGACCCCCTTTTGCTTATTCTGCTGATAAAGCCCTAGAGGCAGAGAGGTAAAAGCAGCGGACCTGTTGCAAGGAGGCCTCTGTGACTGGACCCCTATATTCACTATGCCCCCTTGGATGGCTTCTGGGATGTGGGCACGGGATTGCTGCCTAAATCATTTCACAGTTTTGAAATATGATTGAGGTTCATTTTAGGGGAAAGCAGAGAAACAGTATAGGAGATTGTGCAGGCCATGAGTGTATGGAGGTTTCATTCTGATTCTAAAACGTTAGGATGTTCACATAAGCATTTGACTATTCATACGCATTTCTTCATAGACTCTATGTGCAACATACAGTTCATTTTTTCATCTCATTGTTAAGTGCAATATGTGAATGCTGGTAAGTGCTGATTAGTTTAAGATTAGAAATGAATGCATTAAAGGCCACACGAAGCTAGAATTCATGAAAACTGCGTGCTGCAGCTTCATGAACTGGAATCAGGAACTGGTGTAAACTAGAGGATGCTACATTTTGTTCACATCTAAGTCACAGCTTGTTTTTATTTTTCCTTATTTATCTTTTCTTGCCACACAGTTTAAGCTAGTGTGCTTAGTTGGAAAAACATGTTTAATTGCACTTTACAGATATTCTCATTTGAAAAGAAGAAAAATGTTTTTCAAATAAAGTTCTAAAATGTTTAGGGAAACATCTGGACATTTTTTTATAAAAAGAATATGAGAGACATGTAGAACCTCAGATTCTTTAGAAGGCTGCGTGTTACAAATGTATTTGATACGATGGAAGAAACAGCCCACACAATAATCTGTTCTCACTCTTTTAATGTAAAGCAGTCTCTGTTGCTAAACACAAATTTGATACAGTGGAATTCACTTCCGTTACATTCTAAATCTGAAGTCAATATGAAAAATAGATTTTTCATTTGGTGTTTCAAATTTATTTTTATTCCTTTATTTTAAAAAAGAAAAGAGAAACTGTTTACAATTGGGCTCAATTTAATTTAATCTGAAGACTCTTTCTCTCATGATAACATGTAGCAGGAACAAATAGTTGTGCAAGTGATGCATGAGTCAGCTTTTCAAGGCCTGTTGCCTTGACTCAAAATGGGGACTCACCAGGAGCAGGATATGAACACTCCCATATATACTATGTTTCACACAATAAGGGATTATTTCTCAGAAACCCCTATATCTAGAGGGACAACACAGTGTTGTGGTTTGAGTGTCCCAATTCAGCCTGAAACTCCTTGGGTGACCTTGAGCCAATAACTGTCTTTCAGCTGAACCTACCTCAAACAGTGGTTTTGAGAATAAAAATGGTGGCAGCAGTGTGGGGAGAAAACAATGTATGCCACTTTGAGTGCTGTGGATGAAAGGAAGTTTATAAATGTCATAGTGAATCAATAAACAAAAGTATAGTTGTCATGAGATGCACATACAAAGGAACCACAACAAACACTCTTTTGAAAATGGCTTCTTGTCATTTAGCATTGGATAGTTTTGAGAACATACTTTCACTATTGCTGTGAATTTCTTTGTCCTCTGCCTGAAACACACACAGGGGAAGCTGAAATGTTGCTCTTAGGACTTCCAGTTTGCTCTATGAGAAAAAAGATGCATGAGAGAAAAAGATAAGAGTCCCGTGCAGCTCCCTGCGATAGAGAATATGAGTTCACTTCTTATACAAGACAATAAGCAACAAATGGAGTATGTATCACTTCCACGCCTGCTGTTCTTACACATGTTTGACTATAGTACATTTCTCAGGAAAACTCTAAAACAGGAAAATAATGCAGCCCACAATGTAGAAAAACAAATATATATATATATACAATATTGGCTGCTACAGTATGCAGATCTAATGGGTTGGAGCCAGACTTAGTCATGCTTAGAACTTATGTCCCCTTGATCTAAATGTTCCTACTCTATGCATGACAGGAAGCCTGGATCCTATCTCCCATAAAGGAATCATGCAGTTAGGGAACCCAAGAGCAATCTGCAGCTTTGATTGGGTAGGAAACCTACTAAATACCACGAGTTACTGAATATCAGGAGAAGGGAAACTCAGATCCTAAACATCTGCTGCCTTATGGCTATATTCATTCGTGAGAAAGGCTTCAGGAGTAAACCCCGAGGAAAAATCTGTACCCACTGCTTGTGGGACATCTTGGGGAGAAGAAAAGGCTAAGGAGTAAACCCTACACATATCTGGAGTGGAATCCCTAAGACAGTTGAATGGCATATTGTGTGCCTCCTTCTCATAACTCCTGCAGCCAAGCTGGTGCCAAATACTGGTATATTGCTCTGCTTTCCTTTGGATCACATTAGGGAAGCTGAGAGTGGGGTCTTGTCATCTGGGTAGCCCAGGACCTCCATATACACTGCCCAGGCTTGTGCCCCAGAGTGGAGGCACACTCCATTGTCTTGTGAGACAGAAAGATGCCAACAACTGGATATTACAGAAAGTCCTTCTTCCACATAGGATTCAAATTTCTGTTCGTATACAGCAATGTTTTTAATAGAGAACACACAAGTTTTCAGGTAAAGATGCCACCTAGCAGTCCTGTGAATAACATCCACCCTGCTGAACAGCTACTGCATTGGGGCATTGTTCACAGAAAGTGAAATCCCAGGAATCTAGGATTCATGCAATTCCCACGTTAATCTGTGCACCTTGAAGTTACGTTGTGGCTAATGCTGCTATAAGTATTGCAGTCTCTTCTGGACTGGGCTACCGATGGCTTTATGGTCACTCTTTTCTTCTTCTATTAGGACACAGTCTATGCTTGTCTGTGTTCTCCCATTCCGGACTGCATAGTTCTGGCTCTAAATTGGAAAACAAATAGCTACTGGCAGCTTGGATTACAGCTATAATTTTAGGAAATGGTGGACTATATCGAGAGAGGGCAGAAAGTAATGTAATACAAGAGTCAGTGGAATGACTTGCTTAAATACATATTAAAGAATAATACGGTAGATAAATTGTTTAGTTTTTAAAAGCATTCACAGTCTGCAACGCTATCCAGGAGAGCCAGAACACTCTTCTCCTCTAATCATTTCTGAAGACTCCAAAACAGCACACACATTTTAGCATACTTGAATTATCATTTGCTGCAATGCTGTTCCGTTTCAGCTGCATATATGAACAATCTAAACTATCTGATTTAATGTAGCTTCTAACAACCTGCTTTTGTGATATGCCACTTCATACCTGCATGCACACCTCGTAAATACACAGAAATTTGTGCCCAGAACAATGCCACAATTCTAAAGTGGCTTTGAGAACATGACAAGGTGAGTTACATATCCACTTATTTTGAGGGTGCCAGATTTGTGTGCACATTAAGACATTGGGGAAGAAAACTTCCCCAGTTTTATTTTTTCCTTGTGAGGGTGACTGAATGGCCTCAAACAGTGGTACCGTCCTTCACGAAACACCTGCCAGGTTGATGTGTTTGCTGAGGAATCCCTGCCTTCTGCCATGAGCCTCGTGAGGCATGTTCTATGCAGCCCAAACGCATGAGTCATTGCCCCAGTCTCTTGTAGCATAGCCCAACATTGCTCCAGAGTGAACCAAAGAACATGGGAAGTTTGGAAGCGTAGAAGTTTTAAAGCCTTTAAAGAAAGAAGCAGAGTCTGTACATTGTTAACTGAGCCATGTCCAGTTGCCCACTGTGCTCACAGCACACACTATGATGGCACATCCCTCGATATTGCTGAGTTCCCATTATCCTTACACAGCCAAGGTAACCTGAAAACAATGCCTCTTAGTTATGGCAGTAGGTCATTAGAGGTGGGAAGAGGAAGATGGGGGTGGGGAGGGAGAAGATCAAGGGCAGGAGCAGGGAATCTTTGACTCTCCAGAAGATGCTGAACTACAACTCCCAGCAGTCCTAGTGAGCATGATCAATGACTAGGGTTGATGGGAGTTGTAACTCAGCAACATCTGCAAGGCCACTGGTTTCCCATACTTGATCTAGAAGGATTCTGAAAAGGGGGAATTTTAGCAGTGTACTTTGAATCAAAGATGACGCAAAGGATGGAATTTGGTACCCTATCTATCTATCTATCTAGCTATCATCTTACATTCTTCCATATGAAAAGAACATGAAAACGCTAAACTCTTATGATCAACCACTGATGCCCATCATCCGAAATCAGCCAGGCACAAGAAGTAGGGCCTTTTCTGTGATGCCACTGAGATTCTGGAACAGGCTGCCCAAGGACATTGGCCTGGCCCGACCACTGTTTGCCTTCTGACAGACTAAAATTAACCTTCTCCAGCAAGCATTTTTGGGTGCTGCCCAGCGAACTGGGCTGTGGTGGTGCTCTGTTGATTCTTTTTAAATTGTATTATACTTCTAGGGAGCTGTGTGTGTGCAACATTCCTTGCTTTGTTTTAATTGTAAGCCATCTTGAGTATATTTTTGTTCTACAGAAAGGCAGGTTGAATGTAAAATAAATAAATACTTTTAATCTACAATTTTTAGAACTACTCTGAAATATCAAACTAAGGGGACATTGTATAAATCCAGATTTCCCTTCATATAATTTACACAGCTGTCCAATTAAATGATCATCCCAATTATGAAAGGCTGTTAAAAATACATTTTTGCTCAAGGAGTTAGACACTTTAATTTCATCAGGGACTTTAAAATATTATACAGAAAAGCCAAACATTTCATAACTGTATTGAAAGTAAGATTAACACTCCTCTTACAAAAACTACCTTCTAAAAGTGGGATTGTGGTGATCTGGATTTATTTTCTCTTGACATGTTCCATACATATAGTTCTTACAGAGTTTGCAGTTCAAAAGGTTTATTTGTCTAGCTACCTCTAATGCAAATTCAACTTGATACCCAAGCCAGGCCAGACACCTTTCTTCAATTGTTTTCTTTGTGTTCTTTCTTAAAAATAAATAAATGCCAGTGAGTCAAGTCTATCTGGAGGCTCTGTCTTCAAATCACAGGTGGGAAGAATGGGTTGTACTAACTCAGAGTTTCTGAATCCTTTTGAGCTCAAATCCAATCTCAGCTCATGCTACTTTGTCTCTAGCACCATAGATTGATGTTCAGTATCCATGTACACTGTTGCCTCATGCTATATGCAAGGATCTGTGGATTGGAGGCCTGTAGCAACCATGGGATTAAAAGAGGATTTGAACAAAGCCTCTTGGATGCTTCCAAAATTTACGTACAGTCATACATTATGAATATAATCAAAGCTGGACAGGAATTGGGGGAAATGATGCCCAGTTTGGAATACAGGTGCACAATACAAGTGTGCCAAATTCATATTCTGAACCTGTAATTGTGAATTTTGGCCACATTGCACACAATTTTTCATTTTCCTAGGCTCTGTGCGGGATTTTGACTAGTTAACTCACTCTTCATTTCTCCCCCTAGGTGGCAATATTCTATTGCTGGCAGTATCCCTCTAAAAAGTTAGATTGCTTGTGAGTATTCCATGTCATTATCGGGTTAGGCAGGTGGGACCTCGGAGCCAGGCAACACTTAATAACACACACACACCCCTTATGTGCAAAGATGGATATGCCCATTAGTGTATACTACTGCTGCTGTGACTATCCCTGAACTGGTTCCTACAACACCCCAAGAGCCAAATTTTGTAATCAAAGTGAAACAGTCTCATAAACAATGTTGCATCAGAACCGTGAACTCAATGCAAGATCATAGTCCCTCTTCCATGAAAGGAAAAAACGGAAAGCTTTTAAATTTTCCAGTTCACAAAGAGAAGGCAATCATGGGTGGGTAGCTCCCAAGCAATTCATTGTTCACTTGAATACATGGTCTATACAAGTAGAACCCCCATCACAACTAGGGACCCTAGTAAAGCAGGCTCCCTGATTGTGTGGAGAAACCTGTTCCTGTTCCAGCAGACGCAAGCCCAGTGCAGACCTTCCCCACATCACACAAGGAAGGTTGGGAACTGAGGAGGCGGGAAACATACTAATAATACTAATGCTAGTAATTTATTTATACCCTGCCCATCTGCCTGGGTTTCCCAAGCCACTCTGGGCGGCTCCCAAGAGAATATTAATAAAGCGATAAAACAGCAAACATTAAAAACTTCCCTAAACAGGGCTGCCTTCAGATGTCTTCTAAAAGTAATATTGTTGTTTATTTCCTTGACATCTGATGGGAGGGTGTTCCACAGGGCGGGCACCATTACTGAGAAGGCCCCCTGCCTGGTTCCCTGTAACCTCACTTCATGCAGTGAGGGAACCGCCAGAAGACCCTTGGAGGTGGACCTCAGTGTCCGGGCTGAACGATGGGGGTGGAGACGCTCTTTCAGGTATACTGGACCGAGGCCATTTAGGGCTGTAAAGGTCAGCACCAACACTTCGAATTGTGCTCGGGGACGTACTGGGAGCCAATGTAGGTCTTTCAGGACTGGTGTTATATGGTCTCAGTAGCTTTCATGAATACCCCTTCTCCCATCCACACTTTGAGAGAGGTGTACCAGAAGATTCCATGAGTAGCCCACTCCTGTGAGCAAGTTGTGAGGCTTTTTTTTTTAGTGAATTGCCAATGCATTCTCAGAATGAATTCTGTGACTTATTCTGATCAAGTCATCACTTGATAGGAAGTTGCCTAATGTCCCATCACACTATTAGTCCATCAAACATTTTGTTACCCTAACTAGCACTGGATATGCAAGCTATCAGTTCTTCACGTCACAAGCCGCCTGATTCGTCTTCCCCCACCTCATCTTCTTAACTGGCAATGCCAGGGACTGAACTTACAACTTTCTGCATACAAACCATGTGCTCTGACACTGAGCCATGGTCCATCCCTTTCATAGTATTTCAATCATCCAGTACTTAGTTACCAGAAAATATAAACACCTAAACTCTTGCATCAGGCGCATCAAGTATAGGGGGATTGTAGATAATGTGTGGGTATTTGTGGTCACTTGCATGATTTCTGATTCAAATCAGATATGTGTAGTTCTATTTGCAAGTTCACAGAGAGTTTTTAAAAAATCCTGGAGTGCTACAAGTGTAAATTCATGGAGATTGAATTGTCCAGTGGGACTAGAATGGCCTCACTAACCCAAACACAGCCATGCCCTTACAATGTTTTGTTTGCCACTTCTTCATAACATTGCAAGGGCTCCCATTTGGATTCTCACAGTGTTCCAGCCATTCCCACAACCCACTGCTAATGTATGACAGGAAACATTCTGTAACATATATAAATAGGAAATGACACAGCATCAATTCCAACTGCTGCTAGTTGGCATTAAGGAATTGTAAGGCACACAAAAATGGAGGCGGAGAAGCGGGTCTATGTAAATCATCTGTTTAAATTAATGACAAACAAAATTGAGTTCCCTTTGTGGTTGATTTTCATCTGAGCTGCACCCTACAATAAAATAGTTATCAAAGAAAGCTACCAATTAGTTGTTAATTCAAAACATCTTCAGAAATAAGGCTTCAAATCTCAACTGATATCTTTCCAACAACCTCCTAATTGCAGCAAGTTGGTGGTAAAAAACATTGCTTTAAATAAAAAGATGTCTTTCATTTGCTGGAGTATATACTATCCCTTGCATAATTATTCCCAGAATTTCCTCATTATACCGTGAGCTTTCTCAGAAGATTTCTTGTGTATATGTCTATACTGAGATACAAAAGAAAGGACAGATTATTGTTCCCTAAACCTTATACTCTACACAGGTCTCAGGAGCTCTGGTCTGGTGGTGGTGGTGGTTATGGGGACCACTTTGGACAAAACACAGTTTTTAACAGAACCGATCAGAATGCAAAGGCATGCAAAGAAAAAGAAAACTTCATCAAGGATAGAAAGATATAATTCCTTGTATCTTTTCAAAAATGAAATGTGACCCTAGATTAGGTGGGAAACAATAGTGAAAAACATGGGTGGGATTCAACTAATGAGTCCCATCCATGGAAATTTGTGCAAGGACCTTCTTCCCCCTGCCTCCTGAAATTGTCTTGGGTGTGTCCAGCAGAACCTCCAGAACAGTGCAGACAAAGCCAGGACTGTTCTGTCTGGGAAGCTGAAATGTTTGCACTGATGGAACAATTTCAATATCATCATCACCACCACCACCATCGTTAATTTGTACACCCGCCCATCTGACTGGGTTGCCACAGCCACTCTGGGCAGCTTCCAACTAATATAAAAACATAGTAAAACATTACACATTAAAAGGCTTCCCTATATAGCACTGCCTTCAGATGTCTCCTAAAGGTTGTATAGTTATATAGTTACTCATCTTCTTGACATCTGATGGGAGGGCGTTCCACAACACTGAACCCATGTGTACCAGTGGGTCTTGGCGCTCGAGGATTTGACTAAGGCTGAAAGTATTTCACTCATTCTGTTCCCTCTTGTTCAGTTGGTTCACTCCACCCTAAGTTTCACTCCTGCTTAGCTAATAACACAGGAAGTCGCATTATACTGAGTTGGACTATTGGTTCATCTAGCTCCGCACAGTCTACACTGACTGACACAAACCCTCCACAACATTCATTTCTCTGAGTTCTTTTGCAGGTGTGCACAGAAAAACTATAAAAAGGAACCTTATTGTGGTTGTCTGTTTATTTTTTTGACTTCTCTGGTCCGATTGAATGCTGTTTCTTGGTAGTCGTTTCATTGTTATAATACCCAGAAAAAACATTTTTTCCTCCCACTCTTTTTTTATAAATGCAAGACATTGTAAGTATATATGCACACTCCATAAATAAACCCTAACTCTGTTATTGTTCTCCATTGTGTCACTGATAATGTGTTCTATCCGCACACATTTAAAAAGGCTCACCACTTCCCTTTTTAAGAAGTTGGAGGTTCTGTCTCCATCTTCCTGGGTGTAATTAAGATGGTGACCACAAAAAAGCACTATTCTTTGGTCTGTGCTTTGTCTCCTCCTGCAATAAAATGAGAAAGATGAACATATTTTAGATCCCTGACAGCAGTAAAACTGTTTTCACTTAGGAGAGGCATCATGAAATCATTTGGCCCCCTTGTCAAAAAGAGCAATGGCTTGTTGTCAGTGTTAATCCTCTTGGTTAGACACAGTGCAAATGGGTCCCACCTATGCCAAAGGTGAATATTAGCAGTAAATATCCTTTCAAGAGATCTGCCACTGGATCATTCAGTAGTGAAAACAGCTGTCCTCACTCATGCAGAACCTTTGGGTGAATAAAAGCCTTTAAAGATTAAAGTGCACCCTTCCTCAAAGAAAGAAAAATATATATGCTTGACATAGAAGGTCCAGCATTTTATTCAGTGACAGCATTTATTTTGAGAGCATTCTGTTGCATTTGTTCTACCTAGTGACTGGTTGGTAAATTGCTGTTGTGTTGAATTCCCCACCTTTCTCTCAGATGAAGTCACCAACATCTTCAAAAAGAGTCTGAATTCCGGATGGGAGAAGTTCAGCTGTGTCCAGCTTATGGATCAATTATAGTTGGCATCACCTAAAGGTGTAGAAGGGAAGCAGAGGTGGTATGTGTTGGGTAGAGGGTGGCAGACAGGGAACAAACTGCAGGTTGGGTTATTGGCCATTTTGGCCAGTGTCAGCTGGGTAGGAAAAGCTTGGACAGGACTTGTTGTGGATGAGGTTGTAGATGCTTCCATTTTGGAAGAAAACTGACACACAATCTTTAGTTGGATATTGACAGAAGCAGATGTTCTTTGTTGATCTAATTCAACTTTCAGTGGCTTTTGGATACCATTGGTCATGATGTTTTGGTGATTTATAAGACCTGGCAGAGGAATGTAATAATCCAAGGTTACAAATATGAAGGTACCTTTCTCAGCATTTGGACCCAGCTTTCAGCCTTACTTTCATTGCTGTAATTTTTATTTCTAAATGTGAAAGAAACCAAAGATAAAATGGGAACATTTCTGTAAACTCTGGCAGATTCCCTTGGTTTGGCCATTCACCATAAGATCATGCCTGTTTTGCACAAGCAATTTTAATTAGACTAATATTTGAGTTCTTATGTTTAGTATAAACTAAATGCTTATTTGCGACATCTGTTTCTCTGTACAGCTACTGGAATATCATATTGTGTGAGTCATGTTTTGGTTAATACGTACATGCACGGAGTTAAAGTTATCCTTACGCAGAGCTGAAGTTATGCTTATAAGATCATCCTGCAGGATGTGCTGCCTTTCTACTTTCATACAGGAAGCAAGGTTCAATACATATATTCACTCAACTTTCCTGTTTAGAAGGTTTCAGTAGAACTTAGAATAAACTGTGGATTCACTTGGCTCTGATTCCCCATTCACTAATTAACTTTGTCTTTGTCTGGTCTCTAACTCTCTCTCTCTCATTCTCCCTTTTGGTGCTACAGTACTGTCATGTTATATTTGGGTACAGATAGCTTTTCTATTATTAAAGCTTCTTGAGGGTGTTTATAGTTTATAAAGATAGTTTGTCACACTTGCATGCATGTTAAATTGGTGGGATCACTAATGAGTATTTTCTGATTATATTGGACTTTTTTTGGTGGTGTGTTATCACTGATTCTTAGGAAACATACACATATATTTTGATGGTTTTACTTCCATGGTGTGGATCTCCCACTGAGAATGGTATATCTGTATTGAAAGCAGCATATATTAGGGGTGTGCATTGGCTCTGTGTGTATACTCCAAATTACAAGCCAAATTGTGGTGGTCTGAGGTATTCCCAAATCAGGTTGCTTGCTAATAAGGCTTGTCAAGGCAGAACAGGGAGTTTCCAACCTTCGCAGTAGCTTTGTTGTCTCAGGTTTTCAAAAAAGTTAAATATGCAACCTTCCCCCCTTGTTTTCTGAGAAACAAACCAAGCCAACTAGGAAAACTCTCAGAGCTCAAGAGGAGATCAGGTGTGGAAGAGAGACAAGGGGGTATTTTGATGTACAAGGCCAGCTTTTAATAATAGTGGGATGTTTTCCAGCAGTAAGCCAATCACAGTGATTTGGAGGAGGGATTCCAAAGAAAATAACCCAAGGTTGTTCCTCACATGGGTCCTCATTCTCCTGTGTGTTTGAGTTGTGGGAACAGAGTGTAAGTGGTGGAGTTACACCAGGGTTGAGAAACCTTAGACACACAGGTCAAATCTTGGCCTGCCAGGAAGCCCCAATTGGCCTATCAGGCTATTTTCCCAAACCACAGTCACCTACTGTCAGTTGATGGGAAGGAAGATGAGGTTAAATCCTGCACTGGCTGTGCAATTCTCCCAAGGCAGTAGGATTTAGCCCTCCTCGTCAGATGAGGAGTGCGGGGAGGGAGAGAGGGAAAAGCCTGCTCAGTTCAGCAGGATTCAATGCTAAGTCCTTCCTGGATTCTCTGCTAAAATGGAGTCTTCCTCCACTGTAGGTGTATAGGACTTCCATGCTATTGAGAACTGCTACACGTGGCTGCATTGGAGTCCCTTTCAGCCAAACACATAAGACCCTGAAGGGCATGGGCAGAGGGGCACACTGACCTTGAGACATGATGCTGCAGCCCTAGCCTGTTCTTTTCTGGATTGAGGTCTTAGGGGAGGCTGGGTCAAAGCATGGGCACTTGCTCCTGTGGCAGAGGTGTCCCATCTCAAAGAACACAAACTGGTTAAGTTTAATACAGTGTTACAGTTGGTGCTTCCGAGTGGCTTGGCAACAACTACATCAATAAGGGTCTGGGCACCTCTCAGAATTAAATCAAAGGCTTGTTGTAATTGTTCTAAAACAAATCATTTATCATATCTAGAACTGTGGTTGTCCCTTTGTCATTATCCAGATATACATCTACTCAGTTGATGTGAGGATAATTGAAGACACATATGATTATGACATTTTCTCTTTTGGCTGCCTCCCAGATGTCCCTCCTGGAACATTTGGAGCCAATTGTTAGTTTGCTGGCATTTTGTTTTCCGAGTTTTTCCAGAGATACGTTTTTATGGCTACTAGTGTAGTTGTTTATGAGAGCAGCTTATAACCTCCAGAATGCAAATCCTGTCATCACCTTAGTAAAAGCAAAGTGAATGGTGCCTGCACAAAAAGAACACATAAATTCCACAGAAACGAAATTAATGGGTTAGATGTTAGCCTGTGAAAGATGCTCACTCAAGTTCAAAATGCTGGTAAATACGCTAACTTAGTAAAGCTTTATTCTAGGTGTGCCCCAAAGCCATTAAACTATAGAGTAACATAAGCCTGGGAATGGATGACTTGGCATGGAGAACATACAGATGAACTTCTGGTTTCTTGTTGCCAATAATTCTGCACAAGATAAATGTGTGAGGGGTAAAGTGGGGCCACCCTCACTGCCCACCCCCTTTGTATTGTCTCTATCCCTTGGACCTGTTGCCCTTCACACACTAGATGTGTGCATTGGGGAGTCTGCTGCACATATTGAAGCCCCCATTCCCCATGATTTAGAACCTTGCACAAATCAGGGAGATTCCATGAGGCGTTCCTGCACAACAATCCTGCCCTCCAATGCATGGACAGAGAGGGGTGGGGCCACAGGGTGGTTCCCCACCCCTTGTATGTTAGCAGATATCAGTAGATAAAATCATGTGGGCCGATACAACTGAAGTGGTTGGGCAAATACCTCGCTCCGCTCACTTGATTTTAATTGTGTGTGGGGACTGAGTGCCCAATTATAGAGCTATTATTTCAAATATCTGATACTGGCCTCCATCAGAGAGGCTGATCCTTCTGAGTGAATAAGGTGAACAAGTGCTCAATCATTTTACATTAAAAATCAGCGTTTGAGTGCAACCAGTAGATTTTAAAGGATGCAGATGGCACTTTATTAATATGTACTGGCTTAATTGAACTAGAAGTATACGATTTAACTTTCTACAGAATCTCACTGAGTATATCTTTAATGGTTAGTGTTAAAATATGAAGTGTCCTGCATTTCTCAGATTCTAATAGGTAGTGCTCCCTCATTAAACAAAGTCAATATTTTACCATCAGCATGAGTGAATATGTATATCAAATATGTTTCAGTTAAGACATAGGGCATGGTATGTGGAAAAGGCCCCCCCCATGAAGTATTGCCCTTACTCATTATAATAATTATGATTATAACTCATCATATCGCCCAGCCTGGCTGGGATTACTTCAAGAAGAAGCCTCTGGTTATTTTTTAAAAGGGTACTAAAGCTGTAGATGAGAAAATGAAACAGCTGTGGACAGGTAAAAGGTAGCACATTGAAAAGGTAAACAAAGGGGATGTAATGTGGAACTTTTTGCAGCTCCCTTTGTTTAGAGGTTTTTTTTGTTGGCAAAAGTCTGGTGTCACCCTAACGTCAAAGACCAAGGTAACAACATGCAAAATGTTGATATAATACCTACTCTTGATTTCTTTATAATAAGGGCTAACAAAGCTAAACTGCATCAAGGCATGTGTTTGTCACAAAGGCATGAAGTTCATATGGAAAAACCACAATGCCCGATCAATTCTTGCTGACCCATAATAATTACTAAAATATAAGAATGTGATTGGGGTTAGCATATGAAATGAGAGGTCTCATGGATAATCATACTGGCAGCATTTATGGGCCAATAAAGAAATCACATTAGACTTGTATTTTCCTAACTGGAAAGGTGCCAAAGTAATGAAAAATACAGTAATTTTTGTTGATGTCAAGCAGGGATGCAGACAAAATTGTAGACAACATGGTTTGGGCTTTTATTGGGTCATTGGAGCATCAGAACGATTAGGAAAGGGTACAAAATGCCATGTAGATTACAACAAATAATGCCACATCATATTAATTGTGCCTGCTGTAACTGCTGCCTAATTCCTTATGCTGAAGACAAAAAGGTATTTTCATTTGTCAATACATGCGGACTTCTTAAAACTTAAATTTTATTGTTTGCAACAGGATGTTATACTGAATTTCTGCAATCATTTTCTGAGTGTAATTAAAGTCAGCATAAACAAACTACTCACTATTTACCGCAAATGGGGAATGGCAACTTCCTGCTTTCTAGAAATTGTGTTATATGTTCAGGATGATCAAGATGAGTCAACAAATGAGCAGTGGCATTTATGGACTACTTTTGATGGCAGCCCTGCATAGAGCATATTACACTAGTCTGAGCTGGATGTGAATGATGGTGGTCAGGTGCCTATCTTCCAACACAGGTGGTGAATCAGTCCCATCTGAAAACTCCAGGCCAGAAAGCCTCCATCGGAAAATCTAGCAGCATCCTGAAAGCTGCTCCTTAGGTAAGAATGGAATGTTGTCACAGGTATTTCTCCAACCAGCTAATCCACGGAGTCAGTTCTATTAGCCCACATAATTTTATGTACCGATAATCAACTATCATGGGGGGGGGGTTGAGACCCCACCCCGTGGCTCCAACTCTCTTCATCCATGGATTGGGAAGCATATAAAGAGAGGAATCTCCTCTATGAGTTTAGGTTACCCTGGTTATTTAGAACACTGCATGATTAGGGTTCAACATCACCAAAGGCAGTCTATGTAGTGCAGCTTCCCCTCTTCATACATTTCCTGTCAATTCATGGATGGTGAGGTGTGGGATAGTGTAAACTGTGCAAGTGAATAATGCCATCAGCCTTATAATGGTGGTATAGCAACACAATTCCTGGTTCAAATGGATTACCAACGCAACTGCCTCAGAAAAGAGAAGTATTCACTGAAGGTTATGGTGACAAAAATATATCCCACCCCCACCCCAAAGAGGAAACAATGGGCAGTATCCAGTGAAGTACCTACCTGCCACTACAATGACTTCTGGCTGTGCAATGGAACTTCCCCTCCCTCTCCTCTCCCTGTATCCTCCCACACCTCCAAAATCTCTTCTGGGTTCCCCCCTAACCCCCCAGAGGCAGCATGGGGAAAGGAAGAGGAGGAGAAAGTTCCATTGCACAAGTGGCAATCCTTGCATCACAGACAAAGGTGGGTCTATTGGAACACAGCTGGTTTGGTTGCACCAGCATCTTCAAGTAGTGACCATTTTAGGCACGTCTGATTGGTGCACGATCAAGCATACACTTGTCGCTGCCAACCTGGAAGTGGCCCAAAAAGGGTGGCATGGGGTGTGTTGGGTTTATGTGGGGAACAGAACCCCCATGCAAAATGGTCTCCACCTGTATGCAAACACATCTCTCTGTCTTTAAAACAAGTAAAGCAAAGAGGTCAATGGAATAGCATTCTGTTGCTTTGGGTAGGCTAACCCTATATATCTCAAACCTACTTATCAGGTTATGTGAAACAGATGAAGGCTGAAATCCTATATCAATTTACTACTTTTTGAAATCAGACTGACTTCTGAGGTGATATGTATAGGATTGTGCTGTTGGGTTGCATTCCTGTACCTGGGAGGAACCCCCCTTGAATCCAGTGGAACTTACTTCTGAGTAGCAGTGCATATTATTGCACTGTTAGGAAAGTACAAATGCTATGTGAGGGTCCGTCATTACACGTTTTTCTGCAGATGCCTTAGTTTTGAGCCTGAATATCTGTTAATGACTTGTTCTGTTAAACACTGAAACACACTTTAAGGTTTCTAAGCAGGTCTCTGTGTCACTAATGTTCTCACTTGAGTTATGAAGCAAAATCTCCTCAGACTCCCCTCCCTCCCCACTCATCCCATGAATGGACTTTTTTGTGTTGTTGCTGCTGCTGTTGTTTTGTGTTAACCTCCCCTTCCTCCCCTTCCTACTTCCCAAACAAATTGTGAAAGGCGTATTCATCTGAGCAAGGGAACTCTTTGTATCGAGTATGTCCTGGTCTTTAATAAAGCACCAGACCGGCCGGGGTGGGGGGGCTTCATTCAGAGGGGATGCTGTATTACAAATCTGCTTTTGTTTTAGCTTTCTGTCCTTCTAAAGGCTTTTACTGGGAAAAGAGTAGCACATTAAGCCCAAGACTTAGCTTATCCTCGTTCTCTTTGCTGCTTTACTTAATAGGTGAGTTTGGAGAGGTGTTTAATAATACAAAACCACTCATTTCCACTCCTAATGATTGCCCAGTGGTGAGTCTCTAGCAGAAGAATTGCTTAGTGAGTCTGATTCTTAAGGGTTTGGTGTTTTTTTAAGGAAAAAAAGTTCATCACATGGCCCTAAGGCTATTTATTAAATAATTGTGCAATTAATCCAGTAACCATTATGTGAACAATTGTTTAATCAAAGCAAAGGAAACTAGGATTTCCCCTCCTGTTCAATACTGTATTGTTTTGAGATCGCTCATCACTTCAAAGTAAACTTTCCAGTAGAAAACACATTTTCAAGTTACACAAATGCACAAAGTATTAGTAACAGCATTTAAGCAGTTCTCTGCTAAACATGTATTTCCTTTACATCACTATTTTCCTGTCAACAGTCACCCTTAAGTCTCTGCACTGCCTCCATTTTTACAACTTTCCACATCCTTTCCCCCAAGCAAGTTTAAGCATCCTATCCAGTGGATAGTTATACTGTGGAAAATATGCAATCCAAATGGTAAACCATAGCTGCTTGTTGGTTTTTTTGAGGGGAGGGGGGGTGACTTTCAACTCTTTCTTTCTTGTCTTATCTCCCTCTCTTCTGTTTTGCTCACTAGATTCAGAACAGCAGCTTTCTCTCTCTTCATTGGACCTCCTTCAAGTCTCTCCTCAAGACCCACGTTGGGCCCCTATATCACCCTATTCTCATCTCCCCTGCCACATCCCCACTCCCAATTCTTTAATTATCGCATCCCACATCCAGCAGCATCTGACGTAAATGCTATATTCTGCGGGTAGTGTCTGTGTCTTTCCTGTGTAATGTCTAGTATTTGAAAACCAGGGACAGGTATTTAAACCCAGATATTTAGAAAGCTGGTGTGAGTTTTAATCTGTTTTAGTCTATTGTTATTTTAACTTTTCAAATTATTGTTGCTGATTTTTCTTACTGATAATTTTATTGTTTTGTGGTTTTTTTTGCAAACCGCTCTAAGTCCTCACCCCCCAATCAAGCGATGTATAAATTTTATGGTACAAAATAAGAATGAAACATTGAAGTGCTTCTTGATGTGTTTCATCCATGAAAGGGGCTCCATGCAGACTTGTGGCAGTATTGTGTTCAGAGTTCCAGATCTTGTTCATGCCTATGCACATCTAGCTCTGAACTTGTAAGATATCCACATTCAATGAGCATCCATGTTCAGATGCCCATACTTGGATGTCCAGCCTCAATGAGTATAATGCTAAAAGGAATGGGGCCAACAACATTTCCCCATTTCCTCTTCTAGCTCTTCATCCTCTTCCTGTGAATGAGACACATGTTGGCAGGTATAGAATCAAGGGGTGCCCATGCAGTTCCAACTTATCAGCAGCCACAGTCCCATAGTCCCTGCTATGGAAGAGCTTTTGCCTATGGGAGGACAGTTTGCAAGTATCTAGCCATAGCCAATCTCGGTTCTTGTTTACTATTAATGTGTATTTCCAATAAACTCTGAAAAGTTTCCTAACAAGTACAATGCCAATATGAGCACACTGTGCAATCAAAATGGCACTGGGACTGTGCAAATAATTCCAGCTTTAGAAAACTTTCTTGGAAGGTTCATATGAATGCTGTAGAGCTGCCAATTGTATAGTCTTTTGCTGGAATACATTCAGGATTATGGCAAAAACCAGTGTTGTGACTAGTAAATCTGCAATGGAGGCAGGAGGCTCCTACAGTGGTGAACTACCCTTTTATGCTGCTCGGAGCTAAAAAGCCTTTGGGTTGGAAGCCAGAGCAAAGTCCCAACAAGAAGCAACTTTCCCTTCTGGGTGCTATGTCTCCTGTCAAACGGTAACATTAAGATACCCTTTTCAATTTTAATTTGGAGCAAGGGATACCTCATAACGGAGGGGGTTGGAAGGGTGGCTTCATGCGTTTGTTCCCTGAACTCATTTGATGTTGAGTCTACCCCCTGCCCTTGAAGTTATGTGCTCAGTCTGGTACAAGACCCTCTTCCTAAACTAATCCTTGTGATGCAGGAATGCTATTGGGAAGCCTCACAGCAGACATCATAAGACATGGGTGACTTCTGATACGCAGTTTCCAACTTTCCTGGTTTATGGCTTGAGCCGTGTGTCTAATGTCAATGGATGATTCTGAGTATGCTTGGAACCCTTCACTGGTGCCAGTAAACTGAGAACTTAAGGACTAGGACTCAGCCACTATCAGTCCCCCTTTCCTTCACGCCACAAGATAAGTTTTGGAAGGAGGGAAACTAGAGATTACAGTGGGTAACAGTGGCTTGAGCTCTGTCTGAAGTTTTGGAATGATTTCAGGCTTTCACACTGACAATTCATAGGCAAAATACCCCCAAAAAACTGAGAGGAAAGCCAAAAGAGTTTGTCTGTTTACAGTGGTACCTCAGGTTAAGTACTTAATTCGTTCCAGAGGTCCGTTCTTAACCTGAAACTGTTCTTAACCTGAAGCACCACTTTAGCTAATGGGGCCTCCTGCTGCGGCTGCGCCGCCGGAGCACGATTTCTGTTCTCATCCTGAAACAAAGTTCTTAACCTGAAGCACTATTTCTGGGTTAGCAGAGTCTGTAACCTGAAGCATATGTAACCTGAAGCGTATATAAAATGAATGCCATATGCATTTCAATAAGGAGAATAAAGTGTCTGAGGGGGCTTCTGCCCTTCCCTGAGCTCCACCAGATTTTGCTTACAGGAAAATTCAAGGTAAATTGGGAGAAATATTTGCAGGCCACTGATCCCCCATTTCTGCTGTGGAGACACAGTTCCTTGGAAGTGCTTGGGAAATGAGTGTACATACTCAGGGCAGTACTGACTATTCCAGCTGTTCCATTTTATTTTTTACTCCATAGATTCCTTGCTACTCCACATGCATGAAACAACCTGAACTAAAGTATTCACTGCTGGTCAGTATTAGCCACTAAAGTGGAAAAATGGATAGGAAAGACTGGACTGAACCTGAATCACATATCTAAAATATATGAAACATCGATGAAAGAGACCTTAAAAAAACCTTAGCCATTTGAATTATTAAAAAATCTAGGAAAAGCACTGAACAGATACTTTGAATATGTAATTGAACTTAATGCCCCAAATAAGAAAGAAAAGCACTGGGGCTGTTAACATCAAAGCTCACATTAAAAAATGTAGGCTTTACAACTGATAAGCTCCTTCTCGAAAAAGAAAGGATCAGAAAAATCTCCACATTTCAGTGTCACTTGAGTAAAACTGACTTGATAAAAGCAAATATGTGAAGAAAGAAAAGGCAAGGCAGGAGAAGGGGGTGTCAGGTTCCAGCTCCCAGCAATATCATACCATGTAAAGTCTTTAAGTAGTGAACTTCGTTAAAAAGTAAGTATTTCTCAGGCTTCTAACAAATGAGATTCCCCCCCCCCTGCCCACCCTCCATAGGCTCTGGTTGGGATGCTGGCACCCTCTATATCAAAGCAAAATAAGTAAAAGTTAGCCTGGTAGAAATACTCTTTAGATAAGTTTTTGGCTCCAAAGCACAAGCGGTTAATGTCCTTTTCTCTGGTGGATGATTTTATATTATTTCACAAAAGGCATACTCTTAATGATTCACAAAGGGAGCCAGCTTGATATCCAAGTGATACGATGATGAATAAAATATATTTCTTTTCAAAAGTAGCAAAATTAGCTACGGAAAAAAAACTGAGCTGGTGGTTGTCCTAATCATTCCTTCAGTCAAAAGTGAGCAACATGGCCCATGGGTTCAACAGAGTTGTGATGTGGCTTGTTGTGTCCCCCGACTTCTTGTTATAATTCTGAGATACTTTAAAAAAAACAAAAAACCACACGCATTAAAAGTGTGTCTGTCACTCATGGTTGTGGAGATTAGCTCAAAAATGTGAAGGTAATATAAAGAATGCTGCAGTTGTAAATGGAACTATGAATAAGGGTTAGTTCGGAATAACGTTTATTTCCGGGTTGACAATTCATATGCAGATGTACTCATAGTAAAGCAGCCTTGTCTCATATGAACTGTGGTGCCCTCACTATTTCTTCAATTCTGTCAACTGTTCATTTCCATTAAAGGACATGAATGTTTTTGCTTATGCATGTATTACACACATTCACACTGCATCATAGGTTGTTGTAGTCTTAACACTGTGCAAATGTTCATTGTTCTTGCACATGTGCATATTTCTCTCTGTTTCGCCTGGTCTGCCTCCACCCTGGACAAGAGATAGCACCCTCTCTTCAACCATATTCACAAGTGCAGTGACTGTGGTTTGGAGGCTGCTTTTATGCAAGTCAAATGGGTGCTGTACCAGTTGGGAATCTGTAGCTGTATGGGATTGCACCCTCTGCTACACGGAAACCAAACTGTTCAGGGCAACACTTTGGATGGTGTTTCGAAACAAACTGACCCCCTAGTACAGATCTCCAATACACTAGGGGGTTATAAGATAGCTATCATGACTAGTAGTCATTGGTAACCTTATCCTCCATGAATTTCCATGGAGATCTTTAAGAACTGGTGGGATCTAACTGCTGCAGTGCTTTGCTGTCAATATCCAATATCCCAGCTGCTGCATTCTGAACCAGCTGGTGTCCCCATACATTTTTGAGAACTACACAAGGAGGTGCTTTCCACACTGTTCTGCATGCTGTAAAACCCATGCATCTGCAATGCCAAGTGCCCACCCACATGGTCACCACCACACTGGTGAATCAGGCCTCATGAACAAGAAGTTGTTTCCTTTGCTTGTAAAGGCCTGACTCTGAAAACCTTTAACATAAAGGAAAGAAGAATAAGACATGTGGCTTTGCATTGTAGGTAGAATTTTTTTGTTTTGTTTTCTACAATGAGAAACATAGACGGTAACTCAAACACCGAGAGATCTATTTACGCTTCCGAACAAACAGTTTATAAAGTCTATTATATACAGATGTCTAAATATTTTGAAAATGTTTGCTTATTGGACGTGAAATGAAGCTACCTGTTTTTATTTGAAAAATTTCCCCTTGGAGTTTGCATGTAAAACTAAAATCACTTGTTAGCTGACACAGTGCGGCAAATGAGGCTTATTTACAGAGTATATGAAGTGCCTGGGCTTATGTTTGTATCCTGGAAAGCAATACATTTGAATTTTCATTAGACGATTCCCTTTTTGCAAGAAGGGGGAAAAAGTGATTCATTGTATAAAAAGAGTAGTAAGTGGCTTACTCTCGGTCTTTGTCAAGAGACAACTGGCAAATTGCGGGCTGCATAATATTTCTGGGGCTCTACTTGTATCTGGAAATTGACTGCTTTGCAGGCAGTTTAATCAACAGGGCAAATAATCTGTACAAAACAATCCTCAAAACAGTCCGGAATTTGGCACAGCTAATTGGAATTGTGTGTGCTTTTGCTAGACCACAGTCCCAAGATAATTTCCTGCATCTGATGAAGTGAAGTGTCGTCCACAAAAGTTTATGCCATAATAATTTTATCAGGGTGAAATCCAGTGGTGTCTGCATGTGAATGGAACAGACTTCTGCTCCTATAACATCCTCCCTGCAGCCCCTGTGCAGCCCAAAATGTGCTTGAGAGAGAGAGAAGACCAGTCCATTAGGGCAAATGGGCACTACCTCACCAACTTCAGTCTACCCTCAGCCACCCCCATCTGCCTAGCTTCATACTTACAACCAGTCTAGGGGTGTCAGCTTGACGCTGGCTATCAGCTTCCTCCTTCTATTCTGAGTGTTGTCCTTGCAGAACACAGCAGGGATGAGGATGGGGACAAAACCATAATTAATTGGTTCTGCCTGCCATTGGCTGTGGTTTCACCTGTTATTTGCTCTGATTAGACCTACTGTTGGCTTCCTGCCTTAAGCTCTTACAGTCCCAATGGATACCAGCCACCATAGAGATATGGTGGATCCTCAAGGCAAGGCTGGTTTGCTTTGTGTCATTAATTATCTCAATAATTTGCTTTTTGCAGGCCCTGCCACTTAAGGACAATATTTGCCCTAAATACATTAATTTAAGGAACGAGCAGATTATATTGGCTTCCCCTTAGCTGTAAAGAAAATGAAGGTGCCAGCCACCAATTTGACATGGTGAGTGAGACTGGTTGCCTCCCTTAGAGTAAGGTGCTGACCTCCAGAAAGAGGCTGGAAAGTTGTTCTAAGGCCAAAGGTGTGACTCTCAGGCAGCTTCAGGAACTAGTGAGGCACTTTACTTCTGCCTGTGAGGTGGTGGCCGCTTGGCATGCCTTTCTTCACATGCTTTGAGACACAAGATAGTGTGTTGCGCGTCGAGGTCCCCAAGCCACCCCAAATAAAGCACACTTGACACATAATTTTAGTTTAAGGTTTTTGGCATACTTTTGGCCACAATTAAAATTACAAGCGATGTGAGTGGTTGCTTAGACATTGGTTGTGACTATCTGCCCCCGCATGGGGACAAACTGACATTCGCCCGCCCGCAAAGTCAGAAAGGGAAAACATTTTGGGGAGAGAGACGGAGCTGGGTACCATGCCTCACCTCTCCCCAAATGCTCCCATGGGCTCTTGCGTGGCCCTAGCCCCTTGACAGGGATTCGGACAAAAGCATGGCGATCCCCTGGATTCCTTTAATGGAATACCCTTGCAGCAGCAGTATTTTGGAGGGACAGGCACAGCCAATCCGTACCCCTCCACCAACAAATTAATAAAACCAATTCCTAACCACAACCTTACAAGTTGTGACGATTTGCTACGCAGTAGGCAAAACCCAAATAGCACCAGCCAATCAGCCAAATGGACAAAATTCCTACCGGGCCCCTGCCCCAAAGCAGACAACCCCATGATAGGCATAGCAAGGTCAAGCAAACAGCCTAAAATAAGGAGGGAGAGCGGGTGATCCGATGCATCCAGCGAAAAGAGGAAGCTCAACACTGTGCGCAGGGCATATATATAAGCTATGGCTGTCAATCACAAAACGGCAACATATAAATCTCCCCAGCAACAGATAGGAACCAATGGATATGGTGGCTAAAATTCTTTACCTGCCCAGCAACAGTGGGGTGTCTTGTTAGCACCCATCGCAACATGTGGTCTCCAAGAAGGAGAACATGCTTTACTGCTGATCATCTTCACAGGGTGCAGCTCACATGAGAGCCGACATGCTTATGTGAAGGTGCATTTTACAGTTCAATTGCATTTCTTTCTGGAGGAGTACCTTACTGTATTGCTCAAGGCTGAACTGTCACAAATGCTGCTGCTGGAATTGGTTGGGGGGGGGGCATTTCCCAAGAGGCGTTGGTGGGCAGAACGCTAACTTGAAAGTTGGGTTTCTCAAGAGTCAACTCAAAACCTGACTTTTTCTGAACTGCTCCCTATCGTGGTAGCTTTTGGAAAGAGAAGTTTCACAATGCGTCCATTCAGTTTTGGGATCTTAACCTGTGCATGGTGCACATTACTAGTTATTCGTCTTCACAGTCAGGATATCTGGTAACTAAAGACTTGGATTCTTAATTTCATGATTGTTTGGTCTGAGATGCTGGAATACCGTTTTTTATGTAGAGCCCGCCATCCTAACCATATTGAAATGGCTAGGAGGTGAGTCAACAGGGATGTGCACAATTGTCTGTTGGGCTTATATTTTCCGGTGTGGGGATTAGATATGATGCACTGACCTTCTTGTGCACTTCTCTACTGAAGGCTCTGACCTTTATCTGAGAGATCTGCTGCAAAGCTCTTCTTTCAATACAGTGAGTGACCCTCATCCCATTCATGACTTGTATCTTCATTATGATGGGTAATTGAGCATTTCAGAATCATGAGCAATTTCTAATGTACTTTATCTGTCTCTACTACCGCAATACACAAAGCGAATCTCGTGGTTCTTAGCTCCAGTCCTTCTTCACACATTACAAACGAAACATGAAAAGCAGAAAAGTGAATGAAATGCTTTGATTTTTATCAGAAAGCAATGTATAAGAAAGCAATGCAGTAGCTTAAATGGTTGCATGTTCTACCCTTTGGCATGGGAAGAAACAGAGACGGTTGTTTCAGTTTCATCCATTTAGCTTTATTTTAAAATGACATGAGAGTTAACCTTCTTTTATAGGGGATCTGGCCTGCTTTATTTGCGTTCCAACATCAAAAGGGGTCTGTTTCTAGGAAAATATGGTAGCTGAACAAATTGTTAATTTTCCATTATGCTTAAGGTTAAGCTGCATCTTTCTTTTGACATTTCTATTAGAAGCCCTAATTAAAGGCAAATTCCTATGTATCCTACTGAGACTTCAACAGAGCTCAGGAATAAGGAGCTCATTGTGATGTTTGAAAATAGCTTGTTTGTCCGAAAGCCATAAAACTGGTTACTAATTGCATTTGGCAAAGTACAGTCAAGAATATGTGGGCGAATGACTGCATATGCTACCTTGATGCCATTACAAAAACTGACCTGGAAGAAAAATGCTGATCAAACTAAGGCTTGGTGCCCATATTATTATTAAACAAAAGGTGATGCTCAAAGATGAAGTGGACGTGAGACTTCACACCTGTGGACACTTTCTTAGAAGTAGATTCTCTTGAACTCTGTGGGGCATACTTCCAAGCAAACAAGCACCTGACTGGGTTGTTCCATTTAAGAAGGAATATGATTTATGATTCCTGTCTCCAAGCTCACCAAATGCCTAGAACTCCATCAATAAATCCAATTTATAAAGAACTTAAACAATAAGTGGCTGTGTGAGAGTTAAAATGTTCTATGGCAGTCCACACAGAGTAATATGTTTATTTAGGGCAGGCCTCCTCTCTCTCCACCATGTTGTGGCCTCATTTTCAGGCCAGAAAAGGGTGGTGTCCAGAAACTACTGCTAGTGCAAAATGCAGCAGCTAGGGTCCTGAGTGGAGTGTGCGTTAGCATTGTTGTTGTTTAGCCGTTTAGTTGTGTCCAATTCTTCGTGACCCCATGGACCAGAGCACGCCAGGCACTCCTGTCTTCCACTGCCTCCCACAGTTTGGTCAAACTCATGTTGGTAGCTTCAAGAACATTGTCCAACCATCTCGTCCTCTGTCGTCCCCTTCTCCTTGTGCCCTCAATCTTTCCCAGCATCAGGGTCTTTTCCAGGGAGTCTTCTCTTCTCATGCATTAGCTACACTGTTCTCAATGGAGCAGCTTGGGTGGGCTGCCAATATGCTACTAGGCCCGGCTGAAGCTTTTAGTTTTGACCTGCAGAGCTTTAAGCAACTTGGGACCAGGTTGCATGAAGAAGTACCTTTCACCCTATTGCCCTGCCTGGTTACTCACATTGTTGATTGATGTTCTGTTGGTCTAAAGGATGGGCTGTTTTTTTGGGGGGGGGTGGCAATTGCCCACCAGTGGCGTAGCATGGGGGGTGCAGGGGGGGCCGGCCGCACCGGGCGCAACATCTGGGGGGTGCGCGCTCACACTCGCAGCTCTCTGCCCCTACCTGGCTCACTCACTCTCTCTCACTGCAGTGCTGGCTGTGCGAATCCGATCCGAGCCGCTGGGTCGCCGCCCACTGTGGAGGGGGTGGGTGCCAGGCGTGCGGTGCGGAGAGAGAGCGAGGGACTATCTGGGGGAGGGACAGTGCAGCGGCTGCCCAGCGCAGCGCTGAGCGCAGGAGAGAACCACACCAGACCAGCCCAGGCAGCAGCAAGAAGAAGCTGGCAGCGGCGGCAGTTTAGGGGTTAGGGGGCGCAAATTACTTGCCTTGCCCCGGGTGCTGACAACCCACGCTACGCCGCTGTTGCCCACCACTGGGATAAACTCTGGTAGCACCAATAAATTTCACCTCATACCTGGACAAAGCTCTGCATTTACCTCTGCTGAAAGTTTCTTTTGAGAAGTTTCAGCTCATCCCTGGTTAAGCTACTCTAATCTTTGCAGTAGTACAGTACAATTTTTGCCTTATGTGTTTTGGTTATTCTGTGCATTATATAAATAAATAGAGGGACAACTGACCACTGCAGCAGAGTTATTTCTGGAAGGAAGGGAGATCATTAGCATCATACCTTTTTTGTATCTTTTATAAAATTTTAATGGGGTACTTTAGTCATGATTGCACATCAGGGCAGAGGAAGCAGAACAGAATAAGCTAGACTTCCCCAAACTGATGTCCTCCAGACTTTCCCATCATACCTGACCACTGGCCATGCTGGCTGTAGCTGATAGGAGTTGAGGTCCAAAATATCAGAAGGGCACTTGGTTGGGGAAAGCTATGACAAACTATTAACTTCTCTTCCTTGGACTTCTCTGATTTGCCCCGTCTCTCCTAGTTGGGGAATAACCTCCCAATGGGAGTTTGCACATCTTTCTGTGGGGGCATGTTTGGAAGACTGTCTTAGGCTGTTGCAGCAGCAAAAACAACTAAAGGGCCCAGCAGCACAATTTATGTTAACAAATCAATTATTCATCTTGTTTCCCTTCTTTTCCGGTCATGTGAAAAAGATTCAAATGTGGTATGAGCACAAAGCTATCAAAGCCATGAACAAACCATCCATCAACACTCCCAGGGAAAGGTGATGCTGGCAAATTATCTGGGTGATTACTGTTTACCAAATAAGTAAGAATATGCAAAATAATGTACTGTATTTTATAATCTCAGACCCTTGAAGTGTCTCTTTTTTCCAGGGACAGTCCTGGATTTACAGAAGCTGTCCCAGTTTCTGATTTGATGCCGGAATATCCCACTTTTTCTTAGGACATCCCTATTTTCATCAGAGGAATGCTGGAGGGTATGGAGGTATGTGAAGTTCGTTAATGTTTAGGATAGGCGGAGTGTAAATAGCAAATTATCATCATCATCATTAAATAGGACGTCCCTATTTTCACTGGAGAAATCTTGGGTGGTATATAAACTTTTGAAATTGTCTGGTTGTGTTCTTCTTTTTTTTTCAAGAGAAGATAGGCATGTTTGACGCTGAAGAAGTTTGGGAATTTGTCTGGCTTCCTGTTACTAAGAAGGGATCTGGCAATCAGTATCAAACAGCTGCTGAAGCTACTCTGATGCAGAATAAGTATCCAGAGTAGGTTTTTTATTTGGGTCGATGACAGAAAGAGGAAAGATTGGTTTCAGAAGGAATAACAAACATTTCCTCAGACTTCCAGATCTTGCATAATTGAGGAAGAGGGAACCAAAAGGGACTATTTATCTGTGTTTGACATTGTTTGAACATTTGTGTTATATTTATTACGGGGGTGAAATAACCCCCCATTTCTTCTTTCATTGGGCTTCCTTTTTCACTCTGCCCTCAATTCTGGCTTAACCAGGAGATTTTTCTTCTGTTAGATTTCATTTCCTTAGCTTTCATTTCTTTTTCAGACTCTTCCCAGCTCTGCATTGCCACTGTGCACGTGTGCATTGATGAAACATTTTAAGAAAGTAGTCTTGGTATGATGGTATTACAAAGGGTGAGGAATTTGGGGAGGAAGGTGTCCACATTCCAGAGCAAACTCACTTGATTTGCAGCTTCTGGATTAATATTTAGATTGGAATGTGGCTTGTTCCAAAATTTATACTCCTGCCAAGTTCTATGAGGTGGCCTGAGGGCTGCATTTAATATTTCTCCCTTTCTCCTTCATATTTATTTATTTATTTGCTTGTTTGTTTTTTTATAAGATTTAGCAGCTTGGTGCAACTAGAAAGCACAGCAGCTACTGCAAGGGTTGAGAAGAAGCCAGAAATGTCCTGGAGAGGGATGACATGGAATGACATGCAAGGAGATTGTATGCAAGTAACAGTGGGGACAGCCATCTTTTTTCTATACAATGCCTGAATTCTTGTAAAACATCTTTTAAAGAAGGCAGATCACCTCATAAGTACCTTGTGTTCTGTCGAGCTCATGCTGGCAGGGCAGAAAAGAAAACAGAGCCGCATTCCTTTGCTCCTTCATCTTTTCCTGCCCCAGTCCATCCAGTGACATTTCATTCAATGACATCCATCCATGAGAATGATGTGGCAGAAATTCTGTTTGCCACTTCTAGCAGAGGTAGATTTAGGAGCGCGTGATCAATTCAGTCGCACTGGGCATGGAGCCTTGGGGGTGTTGTGGGGGCACCACAACTATGATGTAAAATGGAAGGTAATATAGGGTTGCCACATTTCAAAAAGTGAGAATCCGGACAGAAAAGTTGCTGAGCTTTTTGCTTTTTATGGCCAAAGTTGCTGAGCTTTTTTTTGCCATGCGTCTGGATTTTTCAAGACATTTCAGCGATTTCTGCCCAGACACTGCTTCTGATGGTCGATTGTCAGCTATATCAGGGTATGGCATCATACAGGGTGCACTGAGATTTGAGACCCCAAGGTCCGTCACAGCCTCCAGGGTTACTATAGTTGTCTCACTAGGTTGGAGGCCTGGGGAAGCTATGGATTCTTTAGATTCTCCCAGTCGATCTTGTCACATCACAGATACACTCTCAGTGTTAGGAGTTAAAAGGCCAGGTGAAACTGGCTGACGTCTCCCTCTCAACCACTCTCTCACTTTTTATACCTGTACTACTATATCCTTTTTCTGTTCCAGCAACCTGGCAGTTACATTTAAAATACTTCTAAAAGCCTCATACTTAATGGTGCGCATCCTGAACCAGAGTATATAATACAGTGGTACATCTGGTTAAGAACTTAATTCGTTCCGGAGGTCCGTACTTAACCTGAAACTGTTCTTAACCTGAGGTACCACTTTAGCTAATGGGGCCTCCCGCTGCTGCCGCGCCACTGCGGCCGCGCAATTTCTGTTCTCATTCTGAAGCAAAGTTCTTAACCTGAGGTACTATTTCTGGGTTAGCGGAGTCTGTAACCTGAAGCGTTTGTAACCCAAGGTACCACTGTAAGTAAATGTAAAGGTACCCCTGCCTGTACGGGCCAGTCTTGACAAACTCTAGGCTTGTGCGCTCATCTCACTCTAGAGGCCAGGAGCCAGCGCTGTCCGCAGACACTTCCGGGTCACGTGGCCAGTGTGGCAAGCTGCATCTGGCGAGCCAGCGCAGCACACAGAACGCCGTTTACCTTCCCGCTGGTAAGCGGTCCCTATTTATCTACTTGCACCCGGGGGTGCTTTCGAACTGCTAGGCTGGCAGGCGCTGGGACCGAACGACGGGAGCGCACCCCGCCGCGGGGATTCGAACCGCCGACCATACGATCGGCAAGTCCTAGGCGCTGAGGTTTTACCCACAGCGCCACCCGCGTCCCCTGTACAGAGGTTTAATGCTTAAAATAGTACCAGAGAAGCCCCTATGATATTTATATATGATTTTCTATGCCTACATAAGCTTGTTGCTAATTTAGCTTATTGCTGAAGCACGTTGGCACAAAATTAAGCCTAACACCAGCACACACCTCTTTCAACTTCCAACAATGTTGATGTTTTGATGTCACTAAGGCAAGGGCTGCAGAGGTTTCTTCAGTTGTGCGGAAAGGCCTTGTGAATTGGATCTCTGAGGTCAAACCACCCTTGGAGGGGGAGATCTGAAACATCCTTTGCCCCCTAGGATGCCCTCCCAGGGACCACAGGATTGAAGGGCTGGTCTCATTTTTCTCATTGCACACTGTAGTAGTGTATGGCAGAAAACAGCCATTCTTTGAATGGATGGCATCTAGAAGATCATCCTTGGATTCAATCCAGGCTATTATAAATAAAGACATTTAGGAAAATGCATTTACAACTGATTTCTAGAGAGCAGCAAACAAATAACAAAAACAGGCCACTTGATGCTTAAGGTTATTAGTAGTGCTCATATGTCTCTCAGCCTTTTCTCTGCCATCTGCGGGCAAAGAAGAGCGTCTGGGTTTCACTTTTATGTTGTAGAGAAGGCTGGTGAGAGCTCAGTTAAGCAGGATTGACTTCTAACCCTAACCACTCTTGGCAGCCTGAGACTGTGACATCCTGTGGATCCAGCCTCACAGGGTCCCATGTGACCTTGTTGTCACCAGCCAATACTCTCATAACTTAGTTAGTATTGTTTCCTTAAGTCTCACAACCCTTGACTCTGCAACTATAAGTGCAAGAGGAGGCATGCATGATTATAAACAGACAGAGAAAGACAAACCCACTGGATGCTTTGTCATGAGCCTGTCATGAGCCTGGCCAATTTAATTCTTAACAGTGCTTTCCCTTCATTATGTCAGAAAAAACGAAACTGTCCAGACTCTGGGAAAGAAGAATGGAATGCAAAGGAGCGATGTAGTAGAAGGGATGGCAAAGCACATGAGGCATATGATTCTAAAGCAGAGCTGAAATAATATGACCAATAACGCTACCAGATCCAATGTGCATGTTTCCTTTTTGCAGATAATGGAAGAACTCCAATGGGGGGGGGGGAACCACCCTCTATATAACTGGTTCCATTGCCAAGCTGCTCTTACCATCAAGACATTTCTGCTTATGTTCACCCAAAATCAGCACTTCCATAACTCAAGGCTATTAGTTCTAGATCAAAAACACACCATACGCTTGTGCCACTTTAACAGTCATGGCTTCCCCTGAAGCATATTGAGAACTGTAGTTTGTTAAGGGTGCTGGGAACTGTAAGCTCCGTGAGGGGTCTCCAAATAACTCTCAGCGCCTGGGATTGGGAAGATGAGGGCAAAGCAGCCCTCATTCACAAGCTGAGAACCTATTACTCCCAGCTACGTAATAGGCTGGCAATGAAATTCCACGTTCTGGAAAATAAGCATCTCACTCTTATAGATCTGCATAACAACAATACTCCTCAACGTGAGATTATTGAGCAACAGCAGGAAGTGCTTAGGCCCTGCATTTGTTGCTTCAAAGTTTGAGGCAGGGTCAGGTAGCAGCAACTCTCTAATGCACAATAAAGAGTGTATGATTAAGCAGATAACTGAATCAGTACAGGGAGCAGTTTCCCTTTCTTTCATCCTTGCAGACAGTATTTGTCCCTTTGATCCCTGAACAGATCAAACAAAACCCACTAATCAATTATTTCCCTTTTTGTCTTTCAGATGCTGCCACAGACCTTCAAACACCAACGGCAGATCTCTTCAAGAATTCTTTATTTGTTTGCTTTCCTTACAACGGCATGCCACAAATGGGTATTTTAAAACCCAGTTTATGATTTCTGTTCTTCACAATATTACTTTGTAAAGGTGGGCTTTTTATTTTAAAGTCAGCATTTGCTCTTCTAAAGTCTACCCTGCTAAAGAAAAATATATCTGATTATATATATTTATCTAATATATCTATACCTATATCAATATCATATTAGTAGTATCTTCTTCCTCTGGTTGCTTGCTCTCTTTCATTAGACATGGGAGAATTCATGCCATCTCAGTTAGGAAATGGGCTCAGGAAAGTGATATTTTGGCAAATATATTTCAAGAAATGAAACATTTCCTTAAAAAATTGGAAAATATATTATGATTATTTAACTAAATTGTTTAGTCAACTTTCTCAGGAAGATTCAAGGTGACTTACATAAACATACAAATTATACAACTTTCTAAAAACAATAAAATGGCAGTTTTCCCATACAATATTAAAACCACCCAGCCCCATAAAAATTCTCAAAATCAACACAACAAACAGATCAATAAAAAAATCCTAAGGAATAAAAACATCAAAACCATCAAAATGCATGTGAATAAATTTTTAACCTGGCACTGGTTTTGGTGCCAGGTGGCTCTCATGGGAACAATATTCCATACCTGTGATGCCACAACTGAAAGGCGTTTTCTTGTTCTCCAAACTAATTTCAATATGTGAATCCTGTCACACCTCCATAACATCCTCAGGACCACCATTGGTATTCCATGCCTCCCTTTCCCCCTCAGAAGCGCCCATACTCTATCCTGTGGTATTCACTTCTCACTTATTTCTCTCAAATCTTCCCAGTGTAAGGCCCTGCTGCCTTCTTTCCACTTACCTAGTAAGTGGGGGTCTGGAAGGGTCCTGTCTGCAAGTAGGGGTCTGCAGAGAGCTTGACTACCTCGAGTCATAGGTAACACCAGCGTTGGGGGCGGGGCTTCTCCTAAACAAAAAGCTTTGCCCTCATTGCTGGACTCTGCCATTAACAAATATTTTGCTTCAGAGATCTTAATATGTGGGGCACAATTTGCTCACCTACAAATATAGTTTGCCCCTTCTATGCCCCCCCTTTTCCCCTGGTATTGCCACTGCTTTTGCATCTCTTTTTTATTTATAATTTCATTTTTATATATAACAACAATTATTCGATCATAATTTTAACATTTCAAACCCTGACTCCCTCCCCCCTCTTTCTGTGGTTCTTTACATTTCTTTTAATCTTCCTGCATACTCCAAATTATCTCAACATATTATTTTATATATTTATTCCCATATATATCCCATATATATTTTGAAACTGCAGATTTTTACATTAATCCTGTCAATGTCTTCATCTGTTTGCAGTTTGTTTGTAAATACCCAATAAACCATTTACACTCCTTTCTAAAAAAAAAAAAAGTTATCTTGATTTCTTATTCTCCTGGTAAGTATCCCCATTTCTGTGTAGTCCATTAACTTCTGTATCCATTCTTCTCTCGTTGGGATCTATTATTCCTTCCATTTTTTTTGGCAAATAACATTCTTGCAGCTGTGGTTGCATACATAAATAAATTTCTATACTGTTTAGGTAGTTCTGATCCCATAATTCCCCAAAGAAAAGCTTCTGGTTTTTAAATAAATGTTATCTTAAACATCTTTTTCAGTTCCTTATGTATCATTTCCCAGTAAGATTTAACCTTATTACAAGACTACCACATATGAAAAGGTACCTTCTTTCTCTTTATATTTCCAGCACATATTCAATTTGGATTTATACATTTTTACCAATCTACTAGGTGTTAGGTACCATCTATATAACATTTTCATATAGTTTTCTCTTAAAGTATTGCATGCTGTGAATTTTATATCCACATTTCATAAATGTTCCCATGCATCCATTTCTATATTATCACCAATATCTATTGCCCAGTGTATCACTGAAGATTTCTCTTGTTTGTCCTTTGTCTCCCATTCCAATAACATATACATTTTAGATATTACTTTAACATTACAGTTTAACAGGTCTCTTTCTAGTTGTGATGTTTGTTCCCCAAACTCCCGCTTCATATCCTTTTCAAATACTTCATACAGATTATGATATTGTAACAATGTTGTTAACATCTTAGATAAATTCTGTCTAAAGGTGACACCTCAGGACTTGACTACTCAAATTTTACTTTATTTTAGTACACCAGGTATGGAACACACTTTCTAAAGGGCAGGGGACATGAATAAGGCACAGTATTGCCACCAACTCCAGTATCCCCAAATCATCAGTATCTCCCACAAAACTGCCAGAGTTTATTTACTCTGATTTTACTCTGAGACTGTGCACATAAAGAACATTTGAAGCACACATACCTTCAAAGAATTCTGGGCACTGTAGTTTGCTTCCAATGTGCTTTGAAGATTTAGAATGTCCCCAGCCTTACTCAATCTGCATGCATTTCACCCTATTATACCAGGAGTGAAAAACTAACTACAGACTCATTTCTAACGTTAACTTGCCCTATTTTCAGTCTTGGCTTTAGTATCCCAAACAATAGCTACTGTACAAAGAAAGATCAATATTTCTCCTGTTTTAATCAATATCACTCCCATTTTACACATGAAGACCTGTAATTCCGTGAAAGGTATTAGATTGGCTTCTTTTTATTTGTTTCTAAAAAACAGCAACAACACACATATATGTAAAAGGAGATGACACATAAATTAACCCAGTAAGAAATCTTGCTCAGGTGTTAATGCCTAGACCAAACTGTGAAGAGTTCCTGAGTTTGTCTCCTTTTTGATAGCTATCAGAGGGCATTACAAATGGAAAAAAAAAACCCCACAACAACACCTGAGAGTGAATAATTCTGTCAGAACAAAGTAATAATGTTAGGGGGGAATACTTTAACTTTCAAGCCAATAGTGAGAGCTGCTTCCCCCTCAACATGTGAATTTGCCTCGGGTATTCTTAAATCACATTTTCATGTTTTGCTCTGGGGGATTTGAGGGACATTGTTTGAAACTTCAGCGATCTCCTTCTGATGTTACTATCACAAAAACTTTTGACTATTATGATTCTGTGTCATCTTTGACCTGAAGCAGTAGCAGCAAGAGTGACAATTCATAATCTGAACAGAGGAACTGCCAGTAAACCAAATTTATGAACACAAGGCCCTTTGATCCGGAGAAATGCCCAAGGGTATTGATGGATGCCTTTGATAAAGGGACTAGCCAATCACAGTACTCCCACCTCTGGTTTGATTCATACCAAAGTAGCTTTGATGCACTGTCAGTGTGCCATGCACCTTTGTAAAGAAGGCATTATTTTGTTGAGATGCCAACTCAATGGAATAAGAATGAGGAGAAAGTTCTATTTAATGTAGGCAGTAAAAGCCAAATCACATATGGCATTCACATGGTTTTCCAAATGAGAGATAATCTCCCCCATAGGATGAATCTCCCACATGTATGCTTCTCAACTCAGCTTCCCAGAGTAAAATCAACACTTGTGCTGGCCTTCTTAAGTAAAAGTTTGCGGCTTTTCTTCTCTATGTGAACATTAACTCCATGCAGGAAAACCATAATATGTGAAGGGATAACTATGTTTTAGGAGACCACTGATCTGTTCCATTTGACCAGGCACAATAACTCAAAACTGGTAGTCTGCTAGCCAGGAAGCATGGAGACAGGCCTTGAGCTGGTGCTCCTTCCATATCACCCACCCATGCCTCCATAATACACACCAGACCATGAACTAGTATTCAGTATCAGCATGAAGAGGCCTAAGGGAAAGCTGGCAAGGTTACCATAGTTACTTTGTATGGGGGAACAACAGTGGGTGGAGAGAGATGGCAAGACTACTCTTTCTCCTTACATGGCGTGTCTTATCTGCAGAGCTATATCTCCATGTACCATAAGCATGGTCACAGGGCTGCCTCTTTTCCCTATAGATGTAAACAATTCTTATTTCCCAGGCACTTGTTCACAATATGGTAGCTGTTGGCATTGGCCAACCCACTTAAAAACCAGCCAGGCAGAGAGGTTAAGAGCAGAAAGCATAGCTCCAGCACGAACGCCCCCTTTTTCTCCCTCCTTTCTAAATGGAGGGAGTTCAGTCCCTCAGAGGCCTCATGCCCGTGGCAGTTGGGGCCAGAGTCAAAATTGGGCAGGGTAGCAGGTGTGAGCAGGGCCAGATTTAGGTGTGATGAGGCCCTAAGCTACTGAAGGTAATGGGGCCCTTTATATGTCCAGCTGTCCTTTGTCAACAACAAATTGTCGCTGTTTTTTGTGTTGAATATATGCTATATGGTAATTTATGGACCTAATAGGTATCTAAAGCCATTTGCACATAACAAAATATGTATTTTATCAAAGTAATTGTTGAACTGAAATACAATTAAGAAGAAGTTTATTAATAGTTAAATACAATGAAGAAGAAGTATATTAATAGTGAAATAATTATTAAGCTCTAACTGTATGTAGGTTTTATGTTATTTGTTTTTTTATCTTATATTTTGGAAATGTATCCAGTTTTTTTCCCTTCAAATTTTTTTGGGACCCCCAAGAGAGTGGGGCCCTAAGCTATAGCTTGTTTAGCTTATACGTAAATCCGGCACTGGGTGTGAGACTTAACTTTGTGCAGTAGGCAAAAGTTGGGAAATGCTGTACCTGCCCCACCCCCAGCCAGTTAATCAAGAAGCACTATCATACTTCAAAAAGTCATTTCAGCAAGGCAAAATAACTTGAGGTGGTTAGAAGCAGGGCCAGTGTGGAATGGAGAAGAGAGTGTGACCTAGGGAGAGTCCTGGGGGCCAGATAGAGACCGCTGCAGGACCACATTTTGCCCCTAGGCTTAATATTCCTCACCCCTGCATATATATAGCAGACAACTTGGACTACTAATTAATGTTGAGGCTGAAGATCCCAGTAGCTAGCATGGCACACCCCAGGCGGACAACCCTATCCCCAGAGGCCTTTGCATATCAGAGCTCATCTACATTTTCAGAATAAAGCATGACTGGAGAAGGCTAAGCTAGAAATCATGCTGGCTCTCCATGGGAGACTGTTAGTCTTGCACTGGGGAGATTGGGCTCCGTTCTCAATTCAGCCATGAAGCGTATCTTGCAGCTGAATCTGTTGTGGGGATAGAAGAGGGGACAATGGGACACCAGTCTGGGCTTCCTTGGAGAAAGCCAGGAGGGGTGGAAATCATTCTTGTATGTCTTCCTTGTTGCCTTCTAATTTTCAGAAAAGAAGAAATGAGTGAAGGGCCCTGGCTCAGTGGTACAG